CAGCCGAACAACGGCGGCGGCAACGGTAACGCCGCCGAGGCCTCGAGCCCTGGCGGCGGCGGCAACGGTAACGCCGCCGAGGCCTCGGGCTCTGGCGGCGGCGGCAACGGTTACGCCGCCGAGGCCTCGGGCCCTGGCGGCGGCAGCGGCGATGCACCCCAGACTTCAAGCTCTAACGATGGAGGCGCTAGTAGCTGCAGTGCTGCGGACCTTGAGGGAGCTCAGCGCTGGCATCGCCGATTCGGTCATCTCGGCTACCGAGCGCTGGAGAAAGTGGTGCGTGACGGGATGGTGCATGGGTTGGATGTGCCTGTCAGCGCGCTGCAGCAGCAAGCGGAGAAGGTCTGTAGCACATGTGTAACAGCTAAAGTAGCAGCCAAGCCATTCCCCAGCAGCAATGCACGGCCGCAACGCGCTCTAGAGCTTGTGCATTCCGACCTTTGCGGGCCCATGCCGGTGACGGGTCGTGGGGGAGCTCGCTATGCACTCACGCTGCTGGACGGCGCCAGCGGTCTGTCCCTGATCCGTACGCTGACCTCTAAGGACCAGGTGGGCTCCGCACTCCAAGACATGGTGACGCAGGTGGAGGCACGTCACCCCGACCACGCCAAGGTCAGGGAGCTGCGCAGCGACAACGGCGGTGAGTACATCGCAGAGCAGCTGGAGCAGTGGCTGAAGCAGCGAGGCATCGCCCACACCTACTCAGCTCCGTATCGCCCGCAGCAAAACGGAGCAGCCGAGCGGCTGAACCGTACGCTGCTGGATCGCACACGAGCTATGCTGCAGGACGCAGCACTTCCGGAAAGCCTGTGGCCTGAGGCGATCACAGCTGCAGCCAACGTGCGGAACTATGCGCCCTCGGCAGGGCACTCCACTACCCCGTGGGAGGCGTTCTTCGGCGTCAAGCCTGACGTCTCCAGTCTCCGCACCTTCGGCTGCCTCGCCTATGTCAACGTCCCCTCAGTTCAGCGTCAGAAGCTGGATCCTCGCGCTGAACCCGGGACCCTCCTTGGTCTTGAGCGCGGTACGGCAGCTTACCGCGTACTGGTGCATGGCAAAGTGACGGTGAGTCGGGACGTCACTTTTGACGAGGAGCTGCGTGGACCAGCTTCCCGACTGCCGGGTTCTCGCTTCGGCAGTGGAGTTGCCGCACCTCACAGCGGCGACAACACCACCGGGAACGGAGGTGCCGCGCTACGCAGCGGCAATGGTGGATTTGCCGCCACCCCTGGTGGCGGCAGCGGTGGTGGATGCGCCGCCCCTGGCGGCGGCGGCGACGACAAGAACAGTGCCCACGCCGCCGTGAAACCCCGGAGCGGCGGCGGTGGCGCTTCAGCAGTTGGCGGCGGCGGCAGTGGCTTCCCCATTCGACCTGCCACACGCAGCCAACGCCCCATCCTTCTGCCTGGTTTGCTGACCAGCCGGCGTCGGATACTGTACGGCAACAGCAGCTCGCGCCAGGGCGGCGGAGTTAGGACTGCACTCCCTGCTATTGTCACCGCCGGCGTCAGCACTTCCTCCAGCTCTTCCTCTTCTTTTGTCGGTGCGGCCTATGCTTCGATGGCGCCAGTGGAGCCGCAGAGTTTTGAGGAAGCCGTCCGCGGGCCGCACGCTGCCGATTGGACACAGGCTATGACTGAGGAGATAGCCGCGCAGCTAGCCAACCGCACCTGGGAACTGGAGCCGCTACCTCCAGGTGTGCGTGCGCTGCCCTCGCGCTGGGTCTTTAGGGTGAAGCACAACGCTGACGGTACCATTGAGCGCTTCAAGGCCCGGCTCGTCGTCAAGGGTTATGAACAGCGTGAAGGGATTGACTATGGAGAGCTGTTTGCGCCCACGACGCGGTATGCCTCTCTGCGTGCACTGCTTGCCATTTCGGCGGCATTCGGCCTCATCATTCATCAAATGGACGTAAAGACAGCGTTTCTCAACGGTGAGCTTGCCGAGGAGCTGTGGATGCAGCAGCCGCAGGGCTACGATAACGGCAACCCTCAGATGGCCTGCCGGCTGCGCAAATCCATCTACGGCCTTAAGCAGGCCCCACGCTGCTGGTACGAAAAGCTGACAGCGGAGCTGGGACGGCTGGGCTACCGGCCGTCGGCGGCGGATGCTGCACTGTTTGTGCGGCAGGGCGCCGCTGGTCCCATTTACGTGTTGGTGCATGTGGATGACCTGCTGGTCGCGACGGCAAACCAGCAGGAGCTCGCTGCAGCTAAGGCGGAGATTGGCGGATGCTTTGAGGTACGAGATCTGGGTGAGGCACGTTTCTACTAGGAATGGAGGTTAGCTACGATCGCAGCAGTGGCAGCATCACCCTGTCGCAACAGCACTATACGGAGGAACTCCTGCGGCGGCACAACATGATGGACGCTAAGCCGCGCGCCACGCCGCTACCGCCGGGCACACGCTTGCTGCCGGCGGGGGAGTTGGAGCCTGCACTGGAGGACGGGAGCTCGTACCGGGCTCTAGTCGGTGAGTTGAAGTACCTTGCGACCAGCACAAGGCCTGATATTGCGCAGCCGCTAAGCATGTTGGCGCGACACATGTCTGCGCCGACCAAGACGCATTTGAAGCTTGCGTTGGGTGTGCTGCGCTACCTGGCTGGTACTCGCAAGATGGGCCTGCAGTTCGGCGGCGGCAGCGCCGCCGCTGGTGCATTCTCCGGATACTGTGATGCGGACTGGGCTGGCGACCCGGTTACGCGCCGCTCAACCACCGGGTACGTCTTCTTGCTAGGCGGTGCGGCTGTCAGCTGGAGCAGCCAGCTGCAACGCACGGTGGCGGCATCGTCAGTGGAGGCGGAGTACCAGGCAGCCGCCGCAGCCGTGCGTGAGGCTCTGTGGCTACGCAAGCTGGCGGCGGATATGGGCCTGGATTGCCGTGCTGTCAACATTAAGCTCGACTCGCAGGGCGCCCTTAGCCTTGCGGCAAACCCGATTACGTCGGTGCGCTCCAAGCACATCGACGTGCACCACCACCTGGTGCGCGAGCGAGTCATGCGCGGCGAGGTGGAGCTGGTGTACTGCGCTACGGAGCACATGGTCGCAGATGTACTGACCAAGCCGCTGGGCGAGGTCAAGTTCCGGTACTGCCGGGGAGCCCTGGGGATGGGCTGATGGGTTGAGCGATGCATGGAAGAGCGATGCATGTGGGCATGCAGTTTTGCTGGGGGAGTCGTGTAGGTATGCATGCGGTTTGCATAGGACGTGTAGGTCTGCATGCGCTTTTGGTGCGGTCAGAAACCGCAGTATAGCATTGCTTATGCTACTGGACCGCATGGTATAGGCAAGTCGAAGGCTGTTGCGCCTCTTGTACCATTTATGCACTTGTACTTTAGTTCGATTGCGCCAGACCGCATGACTTTGCCAACCGAAGGCAGTATGCTATGTGTCGTACTCGTACGTACTGCCAGGACGGCAGACAAGAGTTTTTCTGCTGAGTGTTTCTGTACACTCTTTTGGGTACTACGTTTGGTGGCCTAGTTGAGCCAGGTACGGCCCGAGGGGGAGTGTTGATGTTATTGGGGTTCGTGCCAAACCTGGCTACGTTGAGCTACGTTGAGTTGCATGAGTCGGACGGTTAGTCCGTTGGTTGGTTCGTCATGCAGTGGTCGTACAGTTGACGCATGAGGCATTGGACGCCTCTGGCTCAGGTACTTTGGGTCACGCGCTTTGCCTTGTCAGAGGTTGCAAGGGCTCCAAGCAGAGAGCTGCCTATGATTGTGGCAGTCAGTAGTGACTGGTAATACTACTGTCCCTTCCAACCAACTCCCAAAAGTCCAACCACACTCGCACACAGCCATTTTCACCAACATACCCCCCTCCCCCTCCCCCGGCCCCCTAGCCCACCAATGAATATTGACCTCAAAGTGCGGTGGTGCCGTCCATGTGACCAGACCAGGAGGCGCCAAATCATAATCCGGCTCACCAATAACCATAGCCATCCAACGTCCACCATACCCCTTCCCCCCCGCCCAATCCGTCAGTCTTCCTTAATTTTACTATCCCCCGCCCAATCCGCGCTGTGCGTGAGAGGCCGTGCAGGCCAGCCCCCACCCCCTAACCGTAGGTGGCAGCACGATTACATGACGCGTTTTAGGGTATACAAGAAGCACGGGAGGGTGAAAGGAAAGTGAGGCCCCTTCCCCTGCCACAGCCATGATGAGGACCCCTGTACCCCCAAACCGGTACCCTTCCTTGGCGTTCATGTTACCCATCCAGGTGCCTAACCTCCGGCTCACCAATAACCATAGCCGTCCAGTGCCCCCCCCCCCCCCCCCCCCCCCCCCCTAGCGACCCGGTTTGTTCCGTTTCTTTTGCAATGTAGGGTTGGGTTCATCACCCGTGTTCCCTTTTAGGGCACCATTGTAACGATCATACATTCATTTATTCCCCCACCACCACTACCTGCGCTGTGCTCGAGCGGCCATGCAAGCCACGAGGCCCCCCTTGCCCCCGAAACGGTACCCTTCCCAGAAGTGCAAGTCACCTCCCCATGCCGTGGCCTAGCATAGCTGGCAAGGCATGCGCAAGCGCCCTTCTTTTCCTATCGTCATCATTGACTGCCACGTACTATGTGCTTTTACATTTGCTTTACACCAAACCATGATTTGCTGCAAGAGCCCGTGTCGTTGCTGTACAATACAGCTGAACAATACACCTCAAGTTGCCTAAGAAAAGAATAACGGGCCAAGGGCTAAGTTCGGCTGTGTGTGCTGGGTGTAGGTGGTTTGCGGCCTTTCTGTCGGGCCTGGGGTAGGGCGGTCAACGCTCTCTTGGAATGTGTGTCTAACGATTGGCCGGTACGGACTCCTTACTGGTTGGTCCTCCAGTGTTTGCTACCGTTTGAGAGAGGAAGGATGCAACAAAGGTTTGTGTTGTATACCTATCAAGCCCAAAAGTAATTAGGCCGTAATTATACCTATTAAGCCCAAAGGTAATTAGGCCGTAATTATACATATTAAGCCCAAAAGTGCGATGGCACCCATCAACAAGAAGTGGGCCGACGGGTCTGCAAAAAAGACAGCAATAGATACTTTACAGTACCTATTGCTTTGGCATGAAGATGAAACAAGGGCCGTCGCAAAGACAGGTAGCAGGTAGCAACGCTGGGAGTCGGCAAGGAAGAAGGCGTTGACGATAACAGCACACGATGACTGTCAGGCTGGCAAGCTTGCGCAAAACGACCCACCCATACCTGTTGAACACTGCATTGGACAGCAGCATGGGACATGTGTACCTTCTTGCTTGTCACTCAGACGCCAGGCACGGCCAACCCAAGAAACCCAATTCACACCACTTCACACGGTATTCAGACACACCAGCCTAGCCAGTGCATCTCTAGGCACGGGCACACGACACATGGGCAGGCCATGCGGCGGCTTCGGTCTGGTTCCTTGAAGTGTAGGGCTGGGTATCGTCCGCTTTCCCTTGCCTTCCGGTCTGGGATCACGGTAACGGTCATTCATTCATTCGTATCAGACCACAACGTGCTATCTGCGCCTGCCCACCCAGCCGACGGTCATCTTCAGACAACCGGCCTTCTCCCAATAAAGGCCCACAGTGCCCCTATCTGCACCCGAGCGTCAAATTAACACACTAACCATACGCATTACCCCTGTGCTGGCCCTCAGTCGTCCACGTCATAGATCTGCTCCAGTCGCGAGGCAGCTTCCGCCGAGGGCCGGGTGGGCGGGTGCAGCCCCAGCGCCGTGCGCTGCTGCCTGCGAGCCGCCCAGGTGAGGTCCTCGTGCACCTCCACCCGCCGCTGGTGGGCCCTGAGGGCGGGGCGCAGCACGCGGCGGTAGAGAAGCACCTGCACGCGGGGTGGGTTGGTGAGGTGAGTGAGGCAGCAGAGGAGAAGGGCATGTGTCGGGGAGGAGCACATACACGGCTAGAAGTGTTGCTCGCTGTCCCCGACTGCCTTTTTAGGAGGTGACTCAGCTCTGTACTGTTCAGAATATGTACGATTCAAACTTTCGTGGCATGTTACATAAACACTAATAGATTGCCTACTCCCAAGTTAAGCGTGTTTTACTGTATTGTGCGCCGGTACTCATGCAACAGGATTGGCATAGTTGATAAACTTCTTATAGCTCATCTAGTAATGTACCGGTAGTTGATAAACTCAAATGCTTAATGTACAGTAATAACAGCAACCCCACAATTGGGCTAACTTCAGCTTGCGCCACATCACGCGATCAGATTGAAGCTGGTGATATACCCAGCCCTAGAGTGTAAGGGAAACGGAGGAAACCTGAAAATCTCAACCACAAAGCGCCAGCAGGAAACAAGTCCAATGGAGCCAAGGAAAGGCGGAGCATAGGCACCAAAGCCAAAGACACCACCAGAGCTGACCAGAAAGGAAGGAAACAGGGTATTAGCTATGAGGCGGCCCCTTTTAAAGTTCAACAAGCAACCACAAGGGCAAAGCGCCAATTTACACAACCCGGCTATAACCCTCACAGACCAGAAAACAACAAGCACCGATTTAAAACAAGAGCCCCAACATGACAGCAATGCGCACGAAACGTCAGAGGCGCCCAGCAGGACACCCTATCTACCTACAAGAACGGGCCCTATTAAACACTCAACCGAACGCACAAAGCCTCCCACAAACAACATGCTATATCGGAAGCAAAGGGCCAACACCAGCCCACCCCCGATGTGAACACCCAAACAAGCACCACATAGCTGGCCCCAAAACCAGGAACAACAGCAGACAGGAAAGCCTGATCAGCAAGCCCAGGCACAAGCCCGGCAGCACCAAACGCATGTCCCTCCATGCATGTCCCTCCATGCCGAGGCGCCTATCCTGCCCGTCCCTCCCTCCTCACCTCCGCGACAACCACCAGCGGCAGCAGCCACTTGAGCCGCTGTCCGGGCCGGCTGCTCAGCCGCGGGTGGTACCTGTACGGACGCCGCCTGGCCAGCGCGCTGTCCACTAGCTCCGCCGCCAGCCCCACCAGCCACTCGCTGCCGTCGGGAAGCACCCGCCGGCCGCCTTCGGGGCTGCGCGGGCAGGCGTCGGAGTTCTCCACTAGGCAGGCGGGCAGTGCCGGGCGGAAGAGCGGGCCGCTACGGATGGCGCAGCGGATCAGCCGGATGCGTCCGTCCACGAAGGAGTCTGTAATGGCGAAGGTAAGGGAGGGGAAGAGGTCAGAACATGAGATGAACAGACGATGCAAATGAGGCCCACTGGAGACATGGGGTTGCGCGGAGGCGCTAACGGGATATCAGAAGCACCCTCAGGCGCGAGGTGAACAATGCTCCGTACCCTTTGGGGTCAACAAAGGCGGGCCTCATAGGCATCCTTACAAATACCTCTCAAAATGCCGGCCCCCTCACCGTATGTGGTCCCGGGCGGCGTCTGCGAGACGTTGGCATGCGTGAGCGCCAGCACAGTGCGGCGCCACACCTGGCGACCAAACGTCTGACTAATAGCGGATATGATCTGCAAGTGTTCAGAGGATGACGGTGGTTTCTGCCGATACGAGCTGATGTCCGCAAGCGGATGTGAACAAGAGCTGTTTGCCGTTCCGCCAACTATACTGCTTAACTGCCACCAGCCCCGTGCGACACCCTGCTTTCCGGTGCGCTTTTTCCACCTTCCCTCTCTGCTAGGCCCTGCCCCTCCCGCCTCACCGCCCTGTCCAGCGGGTCTAGCCGGTAGAGGTCGAGGCGGTCAACATAGAGCACCACATCCACCGCCACACCGCGGATGTCCTCAGCGATCTTGGATAGGGCCTGGGGTGGCAAGGGAGGTGGAGCGCACGGCAACAGGGGAAGCGAAAGGAGCCCGAGTGAGTGAGGTAATGAGGAGGGTAGAGGCGCTGCTCAGCGATCAGCGTGTGGCGCTATCCAGGTATCAAAGTACCCAAGTGCCGTACTCCGCTGCGTTAACAGCCCGCGTCTCCCACCCCATCCCACCCTGCCTCCGACTCACTCCATAATTGACGGTGTCGCCCGCCTCGGGATCCTCCAGACCGCACGTGTCAATTAGCTTCAGACGAAAGCCGTCAACCTGACCGAGTGGGAATGGGGTTGTGGGGAGGCGTGAGAGCGATGTGGCTTGAAGCACAGGAGGGGCCGCGACGAGGACGGAAGGATAGCCGCTCATAGGGGTCACAGGAGCAGCAGCAGCGGTCCCACCGGCTCCTCGCAAATCCCTTTCTGCCCCCCACACCGCACCTCGGGGTCCCCAACAGCCACCTGGCGAGTCACCGTGGTGGTGATCTCCGAGTCAGCCTGGAGCGGGCGTTAAAAAAGGAAGCTGACAAACTGTATGACAAGGCTTCACCATGGGTTGCTCTTTAAACCCGGCCCATCCCACCCCACCCGAATTACCGGTAATCAAGCCAAAACAACAAATGGGCATGCCGTAAAGATGAAACCTCTACAGCCACGGGAGACGCCAGGTAGCGTAGTTCGCGCATCGAGGGCGGTCCAGGTCCCACAACCCACATAGCGACAACCCGATGACCGAAATAAACCCACACTAGGACAAAAAAACAACGATAAGCTAAGTAAGCTAAGCGGGTGAGTAACCGCCGACCGAAGCATGTGGGACAAGGCCGGCGCGATGGATGAAGACCAGCGACGAAGTGTTGGAGAAGAGTATATGCGAGCATATCGAAAGGAAGGGTGAGGAACAGTCCAGGCGGCTAGCATGTTCATGGTAGCGGAGTGCATAATACAGTGACACACTCCCTATGACCTAGTTAGGGGGGTTTAGAAATAAGGGAACTGATGACATGTATGACAAGGCTTCACCCGGCTAATTGAACCCGGCCCATCCCACCCCGCCCTTATTACCGTAGTCAAGCCAAAAAAACCAATGGAGCGGGGGTGGGGAGCAGTGGGGAGCGGGGGAACAGGGCAGCTGACCGCCTACCTAACTAGGCTACCGGTATATGTGGCAGCCGCGAGCTGGGGCAGCGCCAAGCAGGCCTCCTCAGCAAAACGCAAGCTCTGAGGCCGCTCTAGAGCAGAGCTGCTGGTATCCCACATGAGCTCAGCTAGATCGGTAGAGCCTTGCGGAAACATATGGCATCGCTAGTCTCCGTGCGCACTGAAAGGAGATGCATGGCGCCCTCCCCATCTTCTTCCCCGCTGCTCTCCACGACGTCCTGCTGCCGTCCCCACCAGCTCGGTCCGAATCCCTGCCCGCACTCAAGCTCTAGACAGCTGTAGGCCCCTTCCCATTCCTCGAGGACTTACAACCCTCGGTCCCCCTCCCCCAGGCTTCTGACCACCTCCTTCCAACCACCCTGGTTTACCCCTACCTGTAGCTTGAACGCCTGCACGCGCACCGCCGCCTCCCCCAGCAGCGAGTTGACCAGGCTGCTCTTGCCCACACTAGACTTGCCTGCAGGGGGGAGGGGAAAAAATTATAATTAGTGCAAACAGAGTGCAGGGGAGAGGGGGAGGGCAGGAAGGGGGGCAGACGAAAACACACGTGGGCCGTCGAACTTTCGCTCGCACCCCACTCCCTTAACCCCACCCGCCCTTCCCGCCTGCTTCCCCCAGGCCCCACCCGATAGTCCCAACGTACCTAGCAGCAGCACTGTCAGCTGCTTGCGCCCCGCTCCGCGGATCTCCTTCAGCATCTCAATGATATCAGCACGCTCCTACGGCGGCAGGTGGATTTGCTGGACTTGGGGCAATACCATGCAGGCTGGGTGAAGTAAAGTGAAGACAGCGACAGGAGCTGCTAGGCGTCGTCTTCGAGGCGAGAATACGGTCGCCGCCGCATCCTGTTCCCCCGGCTCAGGCAGTGCGGTTCCCAACAGAACATGACCAGGCGCTTACCGGCAACCGACCGAGCCCAGTCCAGGGCTGAGCGTCCTCCTCCTCTTCGTATTCCTCCTGCCGGTCCCCGGCACCGGCCTCCCCTGAAACAGGAAATGCCGCAAGGGAAAGGGATAGTGCGTTTCCACCAAGGCAGGCGCAAGTTAGGCCGCAATTACGTAGTGGGAAGTTCTGGTATAGTAAAGCAAACATGCTGTTTGCAGCTTCTCCGCTTTGGCAGGGGTCCGCAAGAGCACGGCGGCTGAGCTGCCACACCTTTTCACACGCCAACCCAAGTCGCGTGCTAAAAGCCATATTTAACCACATTTAGCCCAACGAAACGAACTTTGTACCGGATTAAGGTTGGCTTTTTTCGGCAATGTGCCGCAACCCAGGAGCGAAGTGTTCTACCTCTTCCACGGGCATCAGCCTCCTCGGACTCATCCCCTAACTCCTCCTCAAAGTCATCAGGCTTGGCAACGGCCATGAGGCAGTCGACTCGCTTCGCTAATGTTAAGAAGCCTTACTACTTGGCTATTGCTCTGTTAATTGGAAACAGGTCGTAATACACTTGAGTAAGATGACTTTTGTTTGGAAGCAAGAGTGCTCCCCGGATGACCACCGCTCCGATGCCGTCAAAGGGCGTTCGACGACCCTAAACGCGTCCAGGATTCGGTCGTAATCGACCCCACCACCGTGCTTTGCCCTGAAAATCAAGCCTCCCTTGGGTCGGGTGAGAAGGCGAAATCTGCTGGGCACGCATGGCATAATTTTGTATGGTTGCGAAAGCAGGACAGTGAAAGGTCAATGGATGAGTCAAACAAATGCACCAGGGCGCTAAGCCCGATTGTGTGCAGGCAAGGAAGGTGAATTAGGTATGTTCGGTGTGTGTATTTTGCTGTTCCTGACACTCGGACGGACTTACGGACGCATGGACGTGGGCATCCCCCCCTGAAGCCTGTTCGCGACGGGGGCACCGCGACGGGGGCACCACGACGGGGGCACCGCGACGGGGGCACCGCGACGGGGGCACCACGACGGGGGCACCGCGACGGGGGCACCACGACGGGGGCACCGCGACGGGGGCACCGCGACGGGGGCACCGCGACGGGGGCACCGCGACGGGGGCACCACGGCGGGGGCTCCGCCTAAAACTGCTTTGGTGCATGGCTGCGAAGCGCCCTGGCTGGGCGAGTTACATTGCATCCCGCTTCAGCTGTATCACACACCGCCCCGCCTGGGCGAGATATACTACACCCCCTCCCCCCCCGACCCCGGCTGGGGTGCATGGGTGTGGGAATGCCTGCATGTGTGCGAACCAGCAGTGCCTCATGTTGGCGCTGTTCCTTTGAGGAATCTGTCGGTTAGGATGGCCACAGTTCTTCAGCTTGGGAGTGTGTTTGAGGAACGTGCTGTGTTGCATGTGGCTTTTATTCGGGAGGCCCTGGGGTTATCTGCTACCCAGCCGCTTCCTGAGGGGGTCTTGGATGGCCTTCGTGATTCTTTCCAGCGTATTTGGTTGATTCGTTGGGAGAATGGTTTCAAGGAAGCGTTTTGGCGTCTTTCTATTGATGGGGTTCCCTTGCTGGGGAATTCTCATATGTCTAGGGCTCGTCCGGAATGTTGTGGTTGTGGGTCCGTTGTTTTGGGGGGGTCTCCGCGGTTGCATTATTTCTGGCTTTGTCCTGTTGCTCGTGCTGTGGTTGAGCAGCTTGAAGTCTCGTTGGGTGTTGCGGTTCCTCGGGCTGCCTTGTGGTTGGCATTGCCTCCTTCGGGCGTGCAACAGTGCGTTTGGGATGTTGTTGTTTTGGCTGCTTTGTCCGCTATGGAGGAGGGTCGGCGGTTGTTACGGGCTCGTGTGCGTGAGTCTGGTTCTGCGGGTGTTGTGTCTGGGCTTGCTGATGTGGTGGCCCTGTCTGCTGTTTCCTGGTTCTGGGGTCAGCTTCGGGGTTTTGCTTGTTTGGGTGTTCCCCGTCGGGGATGGGCTGGGGTTGGCCCCTCTCATCCTTTCTTACGTAATGTTGGCGGGCGGCTTTCTGCGTGCCGTTGAGCGTCCTGTTTTGGCCCTGTCTTTGGGGTGGTGTGTTCGTGGCTTCTGGTTTGGGTTGTCTTTTGCCCTAATGGTGGTTTGTCGAGGTTTGCTGAGGGGCCGTTTCTTGGCTTCTACCCTCTTGCTTGCCTCCTGTGGATTCTTTTAGGGCTATGTCTCCCATCTTGTTGGCCCGTTGTGGTACTGTTTTTACGGTTTGTTCCGTTTCTTTTGCAATGTAGGGTTGGGTTCATCACCCGTGTTCCCTTTTAGGGCACCATTGTAACGGTCATTCAGTGAGGTACAGCGGTGATGTCTGCATGTATGGGTGGCACAGATTGCAGTTGATGTGAATAGTGGCAGCATGTGCAAGGGGAGTGCAGGAACAACGGGCTATTGTGGCAGACGTGCCGCTTACCCTCGTTACGCCTGAGCTGGGGCAGGGTGGGACTGCCTGCATGCAAGCGCATTCGCAGTTGGCCAGTGTGGGGACACCGTCCCCGCTGGGCTCTAGGAAGATGCGCATGCTGCGTGTACAGGGGCCAGTGAGCAGGGCGGTGATGCGCGCGCACACGGGCGCAAGAACACCAGCACTTGGCAGAGCATGGGTACCAGAATAACTCTGGCATACGGGGCACTCCGCATACTTGCTTGCCTGCGTGCATGGGGGTGCAGGGATGTCTACATACCGGTACATGTGCCCAGCTGTCAGGCAAAGCGGGGAAGGCTGCACGCACGGGTGTACATACTGCAGCCCATACAAGGTGGAGATGCATGCAAGCCAGTGGTTGGGAAGAGCAGGGAGCCAGCACGCGTGGGCGCTTTGGTATGAGCAGGATACCTGTGCCGCTGTGCGTTTGGGAGCGGTAGTGGGAGAGCGTCAGGGGTCCGTCTTGCTAGATTACCTGTTGATATGCCAATTCATGGGATGCCTTCGGCATGCCACATCTGTGCTGCTTACGCGCATACGTCTGCGTTCACTCGATGCTGTCTTTTTGCTTGTTCTTGCTGCACTCAACTTGTGTTTGCGGCAATCATCGTATTGGCAAGCCTTGAACTGTGCGGGCATGCCGGCACGCACCGGTGCTTGGCACCGGTAGTTGCCTAAACGTATGTATGGGTTTCGGCCATTAAGGAAGAGTTGGGTAGCCTGCACGAACAGCAGGGCACGGCGGGGATGCCTGCCTGCACACATGCTTGGTACTTGGGCAATGTGGAGATTGCCCTGCACGCATGAGCGCTGTGATTTGGGGAGGAGGGACGCTTGCACGCTTGATAATAATAATAATAAGATTACGCCGGGCTTGCCCTGGCGTGGTTTAAGGGGGCGGGTGGTGGTGAGGATCAACGGGTTTCCCCTCCCCTGTACACCCTCCGCCACCGCTATGGGGTAGTTGTATGTAGGTGGGTGTTACCCTCCTGGGTCTTCTGGGGGGAGGCCTCGTTCCATCCTCCTCCGGTGCTTCACTATGGCGTTGAGGAAGTTGATGGCATTGTCATTTAGTGCGTCGCAGCAAGTGCGTGCGGCATGCGCGCTGACACCCAGAGTGAGAAGGAGCGGGTGCAAGTCCTTGCGTATCGTCCCACCGAATCCTAGGCTGACCGCTTCTTGTTGGGTGTACTGGACTTTCCACCCTGCTTTTGTGAGGAGATCAGCTAGTTGTCGGTGTTGGTCTTTTTTCTCGTTTTGTTTTGCCTGGTGGTTGGTGTCTGCAGCGTAGCCAACTTCAAGGATGTGTACTGTGTAGTTTGCCTTATTGCAAGGTCCTGTGTATCCCGGCTGTACGGTTGCTTGCCTGGGCAGCTTTGGAATGAGCAGGATGTCGGGTCGCAGCTCCAATCTTATACTGTCGGGCACGCTCCCGTCAAATAGCCACGCAGGAGGGCGGTCATCAGCTATGTACTCAGGCAGTGCATCCCTCGCAGCTGCGTCCATGACCATGAAGCATCCCCCGCTGCTACCTTTCGCGATCGCACGGGTGAGCAGTTGGACTGCCAGGTTATGGCTTTTTATATACATGGCCTGCATAAGCGAATGCCTGCAGCCCCCTAGGATATGGCCTCCGGAGTCGGATTGCTGCAGTGTAAAATACTGCCACCGTACAATAGCCGACTTACGACTGCTTGAGTGTTTCGCTACGCTTCGTGACCCCCCAAGTAACAGCTTACTGTCTGCACACCTCCTCTCCTTGAATTGCGAGTAGGGTGGGTTGGGTGGGCCCAAGCGTCGCGGGACGAGCGAAGCCATTTGTACGTGGTCTTGAGTCTGATTGCTAGATGGCTTGGTCTGTTGCTGCGCGTGGCTCTGGCGGTTCGGCGGCGGCGGTGAGCTGAATGGCGACTTGGTGACATGTTAGCGCTGCTCTTTCTTTGGTTCTGATAGCGCGCGATCCACAGGCGTTGGATTTTTCTGTCGGCACCAGCGACTGGCGTGATATAAATCCTATCCTCGGTCTGGTCTCACTGGTCGGTCGCTCATCCGCGGTGGATGTGGCTGTTGGTGCGGCTGATCCTTCTGTCTTGGACATAGCTCTACCTCCGGCGGGTTTAGTTGCGCGGTGTTCCGGGAACGCTTCGCGTCCTGAACCCCGCCTTGTTTCGCGCAGGGTTCTGAATCCTCGGGGATCCTGCCTCTAGGCCGCTCTGTGGCCGACGACCCTTCTCGCTTCGTATCGGGCTTTTCAGCTGGGCGTAGCTCTCTCCTCCCGGTGAGCGACTCGTTGTCTGGGCGTGCAGAATCGAGCACTCCTTTACTGTGCCTTGGTGTGGACGCAGGCTCGCCCTACGCTCGCCGGCTTGCGGGTGGTTGCTACTCAGCAACGAGGCGCTGGTCTGGATCCAGGCCTGCGAAGGCTGGCGATGCGGATCGGTGCGGGCTCTCTCGTGTGGTGCAGTTGCTGGACTTCATAGCACTCATCGTCGGCAGTCAGCGGCCGGGCTGAGCTAGCCTCCGGCTTGAGGCTTACGGCGGGGCCATACGGTGTACACTTGTAGACGTCGGGGACGTACGGGTGTTCATGGTTGAGTGCTGGTTGCCGCACCATCACGCTCGCGGGTCTGCCCCAGGCCTCCCTGGCCTTAACACGCTGGATACCCCTCCGGGGTTGTTGATGACTTCGAGGCCGCTTACTGCCGTCTGCGGTTGCTCGATGGCAGTTTGGAGTTTTTGGCGGTGCCTCTTGATGAGGCCAAGTACCGGCGGTTGTGCAGTATCTGAGGGGGTCGGCTCGCTGCGTCTGATACCTGTTTCTGAATCGGCTCTCTGCGTGGGGTCGGCTCGCTGCGTTTGGTATCGCTAGTCCTGCTGCGTGACCTGCTATGTATTCTATATATGTGGCAGGCAAGCATGCGCAGGCATGATACCGGGAAGCTGGCCTTAGCGGACTCCAGTGACCCAGCAACCCGCAGCTGCCATTCGGGGCTTCCCTCTCCCTTTGCCCAAATCTGTGGCCGGAGGTCGGGGAGTCATTGGGTCTGTGTGTTCGGGAGCGGGGTACCCAAGGGCCTCGGGTTCGCCGTACGCCGCCCATTTATTTGCGGGCTCGGCCTGGGGAGCCTCGGTTCTGTTTCGTCCGTATCCTGGCCCAGTACATGTGTGCCTGTGGCCGTCCGGATGTCCCCCACGGCGCCGTGTGACTGAGTATTTGTTCACGGCCTTTAAAGGTTCTGGCCGGCGGGGTTTCAGGGAGACATCTTTTAGCGCTTCTGCCCTGGGGGCTCACGTACGGTTGCATACGATGAAGAGCGGGTAGTACGATGGTGACCCGTCATAGCTTTCAGCGAGGTACTCTGCAGGCTGCCTCCCAGGCTAGTGCTGATGTAGCGGCTCTGCAGACCCTGGGTCAGATTAAATCACCCCGTGTGTTGAAGCGGTATCCGGGCCCCGCCCGGCATTTGGGAGTCTGACTACCCATAGCTACACCCGGTTTACAGCCGGGCATGAGGGGTGGGTGGGTGGGTGTCAAAAATTGCGTTGTAAATCGGCAAGTGCTAGCTCGTGTAAGTGATATGTATTATGAGAGGGGCATCGTTCTAGTTGCGTTTGCGGTATTACATGGGCGGAAGCTCCGTAGTGTACAACACTGGCCGAGCATTTCAGTATGGCTCATTGCTGCAGTGTAAAATACTGCCACCGTACAATAGCCGACTTACGACTGCTTGAGTGTCTCGCTACGCTTCGTGACCCCCCAAGTAACAGCTTACTGTCTGCACACCTCCATACCACACCGCGCTTGCGCGGCTGCCACGCTCCTGCTTACTACGGTGCCCCTCGGCGCCCCCCATCCTGCAACTCCTCCCCTGGCCCCTCCATTGCTGTCCTATCTAGACGGGTCAACGGGCAGCTCAGCTCTTCCCCATACAACACATTTTTGCGGAGGTTGACCTCCGCCTTAAATGTCCTTGGCCGTTGCCCCGCCAGCAGGCTCTGGGTGGGGTCCCAGGGCGGGGCCTGCCATAGCGCCGTGAGCTGGTGCGGCGTGCCTTGCCTTGTGTGCGGGCTGCGGCGCACACGTCTTCGATGAGGGAGGCCAGTTCCCGTCCCATTTACCGATGGGGCGGTACCGCTCCTGCTTCGAGGTGGAGTAGACCCAGCAGGTGGGAGCGAAGCCGAAGGGTAGGGCCAGCCAGCAGTACAGGTCACCTTCCATTCGAAGGCTGCATAGAAGCGCCTGGAGCCGTGTAGCCGCAGGCTCCAATCACGGTACCGCTCTTATCGTCAGCTGTGAGGAGGGGGTCTTCTTGCTGCACATAGGCTGCCCGGTCCGTGACTTTCTCGTACTTCGCGCCGGGATTTCCACGAAGAAGTTGGGGTACATGGGGTTGATGCCTACCCACTCGCAAGCCGTTGGTGAACTGCGGCTGGCCCCAGGTAGGGTCCCACTTCACCGCTGCCCCAGCGTTGGGGCACTTGCGGATTTCGGCTGATACGAAGCTGGCCTTCTCGTGGGCGCTGTGGTGGTTGGGGGACTCTCTTCCTGTAAGGAACTCCTCTGGGTCTGCGCTGGGCACTGCCTGCTTCACCTATGCATCACGACCTGGTGCTTGTGGCATCACGTCACGTTAGGCTCAACCTCTGCTGGGGGTGCGCTTATTCACTTAGAGCGGACGCCTTTCTCGTTCATGCTAAGTACGGTGGTGAATCTCATACCCAATCTGCACTACAGGGTCATATTGGGGCGTGGGGATGTAGCGCGCCGGCTTGGAAAAAACCCGGCGGGGTCACGGGCTATCCGTGCTACCTGCCCTTGAAGTTCTGCCGCTGTAAGCTGTTTTCTGGTCCCTCCAGGCTGCCCTAAGCATGCCCATGTGGTGTAACTGCTGGGCTGTGGTTAGCTGCTGCTGCTGGCCTGGTTGGGTGTTTGGTTCGCACTAATGCCAGATTCTGACCCGTGGGGCGTTAGTGTGGCACGTGGAAAGGTCGTCCTCAAGCTTAAAGGAATCCCAGCCATTCGGCTCCTGTGGCCAATCCGTGTCATGCGGGTTGAGGGGCGGTTCGGCTTCTTCGCCACTGGTTACTCCTGCCTCGACCTAAGTTCGCTGCGACTGGCCTCGAACATAGCCTCCTACAACGGGTGATGCCGCCTGACACAGACCGTCAGCCGTCAAGTGATGCGGGGGGACACAAGCCTGAAGGCGCCTCTACCGTACGAGCCGGGTACCCAGCCACCCAATACCAGCCTATCCCGCTAAGCCTTTCGCTCAGTGGGAGCCCCCTTGCATAGCCAGTATGTCGCCCGCCGTTGTTGGCACCTACTGGCCCGTGATTGCCCATCTGCCTCGACTACCTTGACTCACGGCTACATGCTAGCGAACACGTCTAGCGGACGCTTAGCGCTACCACTAACCAAGCATTAGCGGCTACATGCGTTATCGTCTACCTGCGCTATCGTCTACCTGCGCTATCGGGTACCTGCACTATAGGCTGTGTAACGTTCGTGCTCCTGTCGCAGCTATCCCACCGCTGGCTAACAGCTACTCGCATCCACAACGGCCTGCCTGCCGCCTACGCTATCCGCAAGGCCGCCATTCCCTACGGGGCTGGGCGGCTCCGGCGAAGGAGGCGGCACGCCAGGCGGGAGTGGTGAAGGAGATGGCGGTGCGGGGCTGGGCGGCTTCGGCGAGGGTGGCGGCACGCCCGGCGGGAGCGGTTTAGGAGATGGCGGTGCGGGGCTGGGCGGCTCTGGCGAAGGTGGCGGCACGCCAGGCGGGAGTGGTGCAGGCGATGGCGGTGCGGGGCTGGGCGGCTCTGGCGAAGGTGGCGGCACGCCAGGCGGGAGTGGTGCAGGCGATGGCGGTGCGGGGCTGGGCGGCTCTGGCGAAGGTGGCGGCACGCCAGGCGGGAGTGGTGCAGGCGATGGCGGTGCGGGGCTAGGAGGAGCAGGCGAGGGAGGCGGCACGCCAGGCGGGAACGGTGCAGGAGATGGGGGTGCGGGGCTGGGCGGCTCTGGCGAAGGTGGCGGCACGCCAGGCGGGAGCGGTGCAGGAGATGGCGGTGCGGGTTGCATTCTCTCCTGGCCACCCTACACCCCCCGCCAGCTGCACTTTAACAGGCGGCGGAGGGGCATGCATGTTGCGCATCGCTGCCTGCCTTTCTGCTATTTGCCGCGGACATGTGCGCGCAGTTGCGTGCTGCCCCAGACCTCGTGGGGCAATCGCAACGGGGCCGTAAGCTGGCGTAGGCTCGGGAATGGGATGTCGGCTCCCGGTGGTAACCAGTGGCGTCGACGTCGTGCGGAGCACGGTGCCGAAGCGGAGATGCTCAGTTGTGATGTGTGGGTGGCAGTCTGGCTCGGCTGCCTGGCTGGGGTAGCGCGCATATAGGCTGTTAAGGAAGGGGGAGGGGACCCTGGGATTTGACGAGGCGAGGGTATGGTGCTGGCGGCGCTTCTGACTGCGTGGGGGCCCTCTGCTGCGTAGCGGCTGAAGGGGTAGGTGGGCTGGGCGGCTTGGTGCGCGGCGGCAGGAAGGGTGCGGGTGGTGCTGTGAGTAGGCAAGCCCGTGGCGGCGGTTAGTCGGCGAAGGTCGGCTCTTCCCAAGTCACGTGGGTGGTGCGTGGCGGGCTGTGGTGGTGCCCGCTGCAGGGCGCTGACTGGCTGGGGCGGTAAGGTGGCGGTGGTGGCTGGCGTGGTTGCTTCAGCGGGGCAGCACGGCGAGCTCCGGGGGAGGGGGGTAGCTGGGCATCCGATGCCCTCTGGGCGCTCATGGCCCGCGTCATTATCTACAGCAGGCGATGCGGATGGGGCGGCGTGGCGGTCCTGGAGGCAGCCTCCGGGCTCACTATAGGCAATGGCAGGCAGCGTGGAGGTGTGGAGGCAGCCTCCGGGCTCACTATAGGCAATGGCAGGCAGCGTGGAGGTGCGGAGGCCGACTCTGGGCACGGTATAGGCAATGGCAGGCAGCGTGGAGGTGCGGAGGCAGACTCTGGGCACGGTATAGGCAATGGCAGGCAGCGTGGAGGTGCGGAGGCCGACTCTAGGCGCGCAAGACTGCAGCAGGCGGCGCGGCGGTCCCGGAGGCAGCCTCCGGGCACACAAGGCAACGGCAGGCGGCATAGCAGTCCAGGAGGCAGCCTCCGGGCTCATCATAGGCGTTGGCAGGCGGCGTGGGGGTGAGGAGGGCGACTCGAGCCGCACAAAAGCAATGGCAGGCGGCGTAGGGATGCGGAGGGCGACTCTAGGCGCGCAAGGCAGTGGCAGGACATGGCAGTGCAGGGGCAGCATCCAGGCATGCAAGGCAGCCTCCGTGCACACGAGGCAGCCTCAGGCGGCGTTGAGGTCCGGAGGCAGCCTCCGGGCACGCTATGGGCAATGGCAGGTGGCGCAGCGGTACAGATGCCGACTTCGGGCACGCTAATAGGTAGTGGCAGGCAGCGTGGCAGTCCCGGAGGCAGCCTCCGGGCACGCTAATAGGTAGTGGCAGGCAGCGTGGCAGTCCCGGAGGCAGCCTCCGGGCACGCTAATAGGTAGTGGCAGGCAGCGTGGCAGTCCCGGAGGCAGCCTCTGGGCACGCTAATAGGTAGTGGCAGGCAGCGTGGCAGTCCCGGAGGCAGCCTCTGGGCATGCTAATAGGTAGTGGCAGGCAGCGTGGCAGTCCCGGAGGCAGCCTCCGGGCACGCTAATAGGTAGTGGCAGGCAGCGTGGCAGTCCCGGAGGCAGCCTCTGGGCACGCTAATAGGTAGTGGCAGGCAGCGTGGCAGTCCCGGAGGCAGCCTCCGGGCACGCTAATAGGTAGTGGCAGGCAGCGTGGCAGTCCCGGAGGCAGCCTCTGGGCACGCTAATAGGTAGTGGCAGGCAGCGTGGCAGTCCCGGAGGCAGCCTCCGGGCATGCTAATAGGTAGCGGCAGGCAGCGTGGCAGTCCCGGAGGCAGCCTCCGGGCACGCTAATAGGTAGCGGCAGGCAGCGTGGCAGTCCCGGAGGCAGCCTCCGGGCACGCTAATAGGTAGCGGCAGGCAGCGTGGCAGTCCCGGAGGCAGCCTCTGGGCACGCTAATAGGTAGTGGCAGGCAGCGTGGCAGTCCCGGAGGCAGCCTCCGGGCATGCTAATAGGTAGTGGCAGGCAGCGTGGCAGTCCCGGAGGCAGCCTCCGGGCACGCTAATAGGTAGCGGCAGGCAGCGTGGCAGTCCCGGAGGCAGCCTCCGGGCACGCTAAAGGCAAGAGGGGGTCGACTCTGTACACGGTAGCATCCTACTCGTTATCCACTAGGTAGCTAGGTGGCGCCGCGAGGGGTGTCCCATTCTGCATGCTTGGGCCCTTACCCCGACTAGGTTGCTTCGGTGCCCTGCAGCGCTGAAGCCTCAGCGCTCTCGCTTCTACCCCGTCTCTGCTAGCCAGCATACTTAGGCCCACCGCTAGTGGGCCTCTTGCGAGCTGCGGTCTTCGGCGAAGGCGGCGTCGAGGTTGGATAAAGGACCCTTAGGCTGGAAGGGGGGGCGGATCTGCAGCGTTGGTCTAAGGCATAGCCGGGCAAATTCTGCTCTTCGGCTTCATTCCTACAGACTCAGGAAAGGGCCCGGCTCACGCAAGGAGATTGGTCAACGCTTCGCAGCTCCCCCAATGGCGGTCTGTGAAGCAAGGCCCTGCCCTTCGCCCCTTTCTGGCTAGCAATCCATTTTAATAACCAGGTAAGCTCGCAAGAGACCCTGACCAGCTAACCCAAACTACACTTCGCGCGGTCCACGAATCGGACCCTGAGGTCCGCGCGAGGGCTTGCTTCGCCGGCTGCTAACGCATAAACCCCCAGACTTACCTTATTCTTCTTAATCGTCTTGCCGGTGCGTCCGAGGATGAAGGAACTTGTCCGCGAACTTGGAGCGTAGTCGATGAATGTCAAAATTGTCAAAAATTGCGTTGTAAATCGGCAAGTGCTAGCTCGTGTAAGTGATATGTATTATGAGAGGGGCATCGTTCTAGTTGCGTTTGCGGTATTACATGGGCGGAAGCTCCGTAGTGTACAACACTGGCCGAGCATTTCAGTATGGCTCAAATCTGTACGGGCGCAATTGTCCTGACGGTAACCGCGATACAGGCGAGGCCAGCTGCGTGAAGATGTTAGGTCGTCTGAGCGACTGAGGCTGCAAACTGAGGCTGCGAATGAGAAGGCAACCGTCATTACACCGCTGCTGGCGGTCGCGCTCGTCCACAGGGCCCTCGTGAACTCGCATACGGTTTGGCTTTGCCCGGCCCGAGGCGCACCGGGCGTGAACAGGCTTCTGCTTGCATTATTATTGAAATACTGAACAACTCTTTGCCAGTAATCTTGGGCAGCACGCTCACGACCCTTTAGCTTCTACGCTGGAAAACGTGCGGTCATGACAATTTGTATAGAACTGTCTTGATTCTGAGGCTATTTTGGAGTTCTCTTGAACGGGCGCTCCTACGTATAGTAATGTCTCCGCAGCTCTTTTTCCTTTTCATTGCCTACCTTTCCTACACTCGGACCTGCGTTGCACAGCAATGTGAACCAGTGAGCGTTTCTCAGACAGTGACAACGTTTCCTCCGGGTGGGTATGGCTGAGTCAGGCCAAAGTTGTTCATGGGGTTGCGCTGTTTCAGCAACTTGCTTTTTAATTGTAGGGGCTGCAGTCGCTGGTCAACCGTTTACGTTCACAGTGGCCCTGCTGGACAGTAATATGCAGCCAGTATGCACATTCTATGATCCTTTGCTTCTAGTCCAGTGCATTGCCGCAACAGGGACGTCATTCTGTGAAACTTTACCCAACGTTACACCGGTTGGAAATGGTGTTTACAACATAACAATAAGCCCGTCAACGTTCTGGTAAACCATTGCGCAAAAGCGATATGGTAATTACACAATTAAGGATTGCCTGTCTTGGCTGCACAGGGGAGGCCACGAACCGTGGCCACCAACTCAGAATCCGAATCAGCCTTTGCCGGACACTTACTTCTCGTAAGACAGACGCCCACATACATATAAACTTGCCCCGTACTAATATGGTTGGTGCAATTTGCAGGGGCTCAACTCTCGTACAAGTGACATACGACCTGGCTGACGTCCCTGGAAGTCCATTTCCGGTGACTGTAAACGCGGCCCCAGAAGTATGCGCTGCATACTCCGTGATAAACTTGGCCGATCCTCCGATGGGTCCTGCGGGTGCTCCATTTATCGTAGCGAGGTTGTACCAGATTATGGATCGCTTTACCAATTGGATCCGGACTCCAGATGTCATAGCCAAGATACGCGTAAGCAGAGTTGAGATGTTTTCCTGAACAGTCTTACTGGCTTACAACTTTCTTCAACGTGTAGGTGCAAAGCTCATCCCCAGAAGTTAATATAACGTACCGTTGGTGGTACAATTGGTGGATTGAGTTCCTTGTGTTTTCAGACAAGGCGGGGGACTACACGTTTGAAGTCTTACTTTCAGATGCTGATGGAAATGAAGAGCGGCTACGAGTTCATAGCCAGGCTGGCTTAAGCTACGCGGTGCCGTTCAAGGTGTTGCCCGGCGAGCTTGATGTGGCAAATTTTGCCATAACTGGTAAGCTGTAGGCTAAAAATGCTTCTGGGGCTTACCTTGTGCAATCCCTTTTTATCTGGGCACATGTGCAGGACTTCCTGCACGTTTCCTGGCTGGCACAGAGGTTTCTCTTTCTGTGCAAGCTATGGACGCCCTGATGAATCCTACACCGCTTTTGGACCCATCAGAGTATATACCGTTTGTGGTGCCAGAGCAGGACAGTTCATTAATACATGTAAGGTTGTACAATGCCAAGTTCCTGTAGCCATCTCTCTCACTGCGTTCGCTTCATGCAGGTCATCCTGAAGGGGTATAATGAAAACAGGCAGCAGCCAAGCATCTTTCAATACCTAGATGCTGGAGATTTTGGCTTGTTGAGGTGTTGCATCACCTGTTTCGTCTCTGGCCAATACAAGGTCACCATTGAATACAAGGCAAGTATTCCAAGGAGTACCATGCAGGAGGCCCAGGTAAAATAATTGTCTTCACCACTTTGACCTACTTAATTGTAGGGTACCCTCAACGTAACCATATTCGAGGGTAGCTTTGAGGTCATACATGGAATGCCATTCGCCAACAAGAGTGAGGTTGCAATCCCGAGCTCAGCTAGTGCTGGAGTTGTCAGATTTCAGGCACACCTTCTGGATGAATGGGAGAATCCTTCTCCAGCACCAGAATTTCTCAGCATTTGCGTCCAAAACCTCAAGGATGGCTCACAGCTTAGCGTTTATGCCCCGGTATGGCTGTTCACAAGTTGTTAAGGAGTGTCCAGGGCTTTGGCACTAGCGCTTCTCCGTTGCATGCAGGAATACTTGGACCAACAGCAGGTGCTGGTTTACTCGGTAGCGATAAGTGCAGCCGGCAATTACACTTTCTCTGTTAGCATGGGTGGTGTTCTAGTGAAGGTAAGGCCGTTTTAGACCCTCTCAGGTTTGAGCGGCGTTAGGGCGAGGATGAGAACAGGATTCCTCATGAAACCATGATACTTCTCTGCCCAACATGTACGTGGTATTACATAGTCTGCCGGAAGCTTCCTTTTCCTTTTACGCATTCTCTTTATTACTGGTGAGGTCAAAGCACCACAGCCGCCAGTTTTGCCCGCATGGTGCTGTACATCTGTGCATATGTGTATTTGGCAAATATCATTCGGCATATGGATTTGTTGAAAACTGGCATCTACTTGGGTGCTCCAACCTTACCTAGCATTCAAGAAGCTGCCATGATATATAGTATATTCAGAGTCAGAGCTGTCCTGTTCATTCCTGGTGTTGCCATTTCCCTACAGGAAGCAAATTGCTCAGTACAACCCCAGGCCATCCTGAGCCCAGCCTCGAGCCAGGTCACAGGGCTTGGAGCTGGATTACCTTTTTCATATGGCGATGCTAACTCCGCCACACCTCTCATAGCTGGTAATAGCTACAGCAGTTGAAACACTCACCTAACTCTTGCTGTGCCCGAGTCTTACTATCGAAATTGCCCCTCAGGTAATACTTACATTGTCTGGCTTTTCGCGAAGGACGCTTTTGGAAACGCGTTAGATTTGCAAGCTGGAATTCAAGTGCCCCTGCTATCCGCGGGTGCGTATCAATTAATCCTTGTAATTGCCCTGATTGCAAGACCATTGATCGAATTCCTCTTATATCTCTGTAGATGGCCCTGGCCGTATAACGTATTCTTACCTGTGTAAGGACAATGGGGTAATAGAGTACATTTACTCTATCAGTGTCAGCGGTAACTACATCCTTGGCATCCGAGCAGATACTGGGGTAAGTGTCTTTCACCATGTACCTGGCACTGGTGCTTTTTGGGTTGCCTTTGGTACCAGGCGCCGCGTACCGCTCCGTACATTTGGTAGCATCGCGCCGTGGAACAAAGGGGCCAGGGTCTAAGTTGCAACTGATAGTTATTTGTTATCTCTATTCAGTAAAAATAACTGCAAGACAGACAAAGGTGATCTTGCGCTTCATCCTATTTTTGGGGCGGAGCCCCCGCTCGTGAGGCGGCTTCAGGAGGGGGGCGATGATATCCGATTTTGGGGCGGACAGCCGGACAGCCGGCTTGAAGACCCAACTCTTATCCGTACCACATCCAGTCCGATCTGCACCCATGCTTGCGCATCGCACTCAATGGCACGCCCGTGAAAAGCTACGAACATCAGCTCGGGAGGGGGGTTGGTAATAAATGAAAATTCAAGCAACGGAGTCCCAGTCCCATATCCCAACTCACACAGTGAGCGCATACTGGGACACTGCTCTAGAAACTCAGAGGCGTACCGAATGCTTGCTTCCCAGAAACCAAGAGGACTTGAGAAAGAAGCCGCCTTGTGTAGTAACACTAGTAAGACATGTGCCGTGCCGCCGGTCACTAATCCTAAGGCAACAGAGCTATTGGGCATATAGCATATAAAGCATCGAGACGCGTTACAGGAAACCTACCCGGAGATAAGACCCAAAGGAACATGGCCATGGGCACAAGCAGTGTAGACGCAGGCCAGCAGTGCCACAACAGGGCATGGTCCACCGCTGGATGGAAACGGAACAAGAGGTTGTCAATATACAAGAAGAAAGGGAAAAGAGGGAGCAGGGCGCGTTAACGAAATGTTAAGGAGATGCGGGACGACATTGGAAACAACGCAGGTCAGTATGACTAGGGCATCCTATAGACACGGCGGCGCAGCAATGGAACTATGGAAGGACTGCTGGTGGTGGGATGGTCATGAACGGTGAGGGGAAGGTGGGGAGTACGATATGACATCGGGGGCGACATCGAGGAATGCAAGGTAACAGTACATGTGGGATATCAAACAGGAGGAGTTGCAAGAAAGGCAGTTGTGGCAGCAGCGAGCGGTCCGCCCCCGGATCCCCACATCACTACTAAGCCTGGTGGGTCTGCAGCGACGGGAATCGCCCAGGGTGCAGTAAGCACATGCAAAGCAATGGGAAGGGGCGGGTGAGGGTCATGGGGTTTGGGGTGTCAGCACGGGGTGTTGTCGGGATAACAGGTGTGGAGAGGTAATGGGGGCACAAGCAGCAACAGAGCACTGGTGCGTGACAATGGAGTCGCAAGCAAGTGGCGGCGCCGACACCTCTGGAACACAGGCGAGAACACCCCTGGGGTTGTCCCTCAGTCAACAGCGGGGACAGAGAGAAACACACCGGGACGTTGGGGGACGTTGTGGCCGTGAGATCGCTTCGGTCTGCTTCGTTTCTTTACCAAGGTTTTTTTGTTGTCGCCCCAGTTACAACATAGCGGCGTCCCACACAAGTACGGTCCCTCCGTCTTCTAGCGTCCCTCTGCACTCCAGTTTTGTGCTTACCATATATGATGATGAGGTTCCTGAATGAATTAATGGCCGCTACATATTGCACCTGCATTGCCCATGCCATGTTTACGCCCTTTGCCATACGCTCATATCCCAACTAATATGTACTATCATGATTGGGATTCATGTACACCTGTCCTCCGTGCTCGTTACGATCATGGCTCCCTAATAACTCATGTGCGTACTACTTTCATGAGGACATCTAGCGGCGATGCGCTGTCCGCGATCGTGTACTTGTGTGTCGCTTAAGGACGGTACCAGTTAAACGTCACAGAGGAGCGGTTAATCGGTATGGCCGCGGTGGTCCTTCTCAATGGCTGGTTCTTACTTTTACTGAGTAAAGTAAACAAATAATTTTTGTCTAGTTTGTATGTTTTGCCGTTGCGGACGGACACACGGACACACGGACAAGGGCATTCTGCTGGGCGATGTGGAGCGTCCGGTTGTCCGGGTGTGTGGTTGGGGGCAACCGTATGGTGGTTGGTGGGTGCTCTAAGCATCTTGTCTTGATAACGGCCCTCACGAGCTTCCGGCAAAGCAGGCTCTAGCAACCTCGCAGACGTTTCCAAAGGTTTTCTCGGGGGGGGGGGCGTAAAAAGGCTTTGCCAAACCCCATGCTTAAAAAGGCAAGGAAGGGGTGCAGGACCCACCCACCCACCCTGTCGTACCGTTTTTGCTGTACGATATCACTGTAAACTTTGCAAAATCACCCCCAAAAAGCACCATTCGATTCCATTTCACAAGGTCTTCGTCATTTTCACGTTAGGCGTACCATTTGGCAACATGTCCGAGTCGCTCGCCACACGGGGGAGACCCCAGGCAGGCTGCCAGACTCAATGATCTCTGGTATGCAGCCGATACACATCTCTTTTAGAACCTCACATGCATTGCTGTAATGCTTGAGTGCACGGTTGCGTTGGTAAGTGTGCTCCAGCCCACCTGCCACTGCGTCCCTCACATGACCCCGCCATCGGTACGGCTGCGCCCCCTCCCCCGGGTAGCAGGTTGGGCTTGCACCCCACCGCCCTCAGCACCAGATGCAGAACCACGCATGTTCCCCCTGCCAGGGGTGTGTCGTCAGTACGCCTGTTGCGTGCCCTCCCCCTTCAACCTTGCCCTAACTTTGTAATTTTATTCGTTCGGTTCCGCTTTGCGCCCCTTCCACCTTAGCCCCTGTCCATGCTGCTTGCTTTGCCTCTGGAGAAGCCATACCGTGTATGTTGGGCAAGCTAGGGTCTTCCATGGGGACATGCCACCCGCAACCTCCACACAAAGGCTCTAATGTTAACACAATATGCATATACTATAACAGGAGTACTAAATTTGCTATCCGTTTGGCGAAACGATACCTAAGAAGAAAGTTTTGGAGGTCAAAGAAAAAAGTCATTGGGGCTCCGGACCCGCCTACCCACCCCTGCCGTACGACCAACTTTGGGAGCCTATAACGTTTTCCGTACAACTCCTATTGTGTTCTTAAAAGATTGAAGCATGGGGTCATTTTGCGGCGAAACTACCCCCCTCCTGGTTTTCTCAAAAAATTTGTCCTTGACGAAAGTTTGCTAGGAAGGCGTCTTCGGCGGAAGAATTGACCCCTAGAAATTTCGTCTGAAACGCGCAATTCCCTTAAAATTTAGTCCGCAAACTCCAAGATAGCCCTCATGCTCCAGCGACAGCATCCTGCTTCGAAGTGGTCGCCTGAAGACGTAGCTGCATTTCAGCAAGCAGTGTGCACTGCACAATCGACAGGCAGAAAACTGTGAGCTAGTCCCATTTTTATACTCTATTTTTGGCGTAGCTGAAAATCTAGTTTGAGGACCCGTAGAGGCGAGTGCATTGCTTGTCATACAGGTGTGTTTCTGTGTGCAGCTTGCGTGTGGAGCGCCTAGTCTCTGCTTGCTGCGTTGAGCTTGCGTCTCGCCTTGCTTGCCTACGTCGTTATACGACCAGTTGCTGCCCAATTACAAATAGTCAACGCTAGACAATCGCTTGCGGCCCTTGCTGCGTAGGGCTTGGACGCCTGCGTTTTGACTTCTTAATTTCCCACCCACCCGCCCTTCTTTGTTGTCTGGTTTGGGCCGGTTGCCGGGGGTTGTCTCTGCGTGGGCTAAGGGTAGGAACATGCCCACGCAGATTGGGTCCGCGACCGTGCCATTGGTTAGTAGAGTTAGCAACTTAGTCTGGTACGGAAGGCACGGTGAGCGCGTCAGGGACCCGGGTGATTTATTCCCCCATTTTCAGTTGACTTCTCCCGGCGCGTTTAATCTCGTTTGCTTGGTTGTTGCAGTGTACGGGTCCAGGGCTAAGTGTTTTACGAGCCATACGGCAGGCATCAAAATTATGGTTTTTGCGTGTTAAATCTGCTGAGGCACGGTGGCAACACTTAGTGCTGTGTTGCAATGAGCCTGCAGCTTTTCTACAAAGGAATGCTCCAAGTTCTACCGGACCGAGTGCAATACAACTTGACCGTCGTTTCAATAACGGCCAGAGGTTTAGCAGGTGCGACCTGCATGCTAGTATTTCAATCTATCAGTCGGCCTTGTCTTCAATATAGGGTTTATGCATTGCCCGCGCAGGAGGAGGGCTTGCCGTCAACCTTGCTTTCATTGATCAGTTCGGAAATGCAGCCTTAGCCTCAGGTTCCTTGCTGCTGCTTGCAAGGGCCTATGGAGGCCCGGGCTACGTTAGCCATGATGTGCCACTACACGCTGAGAACAATTTAAGGTAAGAATGCGGTAAGGAAGGATCGCTTGCAAGTGTAATCCTTAACGCACTTAGCATCACACTCGACTGGCGTTCTTGTACGCAGTACCACATTGAACGTGACAAGGGCAGGAATGTATGCAGTATCATGCTACCTTAATGGAATGCTCCTTGGACATGAGACGGCGCTTGTTGAGGTCCTTCCTGGCAAGCCTGCTACAATACAGATGGCCGCTCAAGGTGAGATCGTAGCAGGGTAATCAAGGAGGGGACTGCGAAAAATCTTATGGGCGCTGCACGCGGTGGCCAAGGCCGCGGCATCAGGCAAATGTGAAGGCGCTGCCTGCTCGCCCTGAATTTGGCCGTTTTCTCCGCGCTGCTTTCTCGCTGGACGCGTAGTTGTAATCTCTCGACATTGGAGGCCTCCTCTGTTCGAATGAAAGGACGCGCCATCATTGACCAGCTGGCTCGGCCCCTCCTTGGCCAGTTCCTCCAGAGCTGCCGCGACAGTAGTAACAGGAGGCTGAGTTTCTGCCAATGGCGGCCCGCCCGGACCCCGGATTTGCGCTACGGCGAATTTAGCTGTCATGTATGCCTGGCTGCATTAACTTCTTATTGCCGACCATCGGTACTAGTTGTTCTCTGATTGTGAAGTTAAGTTGGCCCGCCCGCCAGGCGAGGACCGAGCATTGAACCAAGTGCACTTTAACGACACGTCAGATGGCCGAAAAGTGCAAACTTGCAACGAATACCGAAGCCAAGACACAATTATGAATACGTAGCAGAAGCAAAGCAAGCAATAGCAAAGGAAAAAAGCAAAGTACAGTATACCATAGAGAACGAAGGAGCGGAAGGACGCATGGACGCTCGGGACAGAGAAGAACGAATGGCACTTGGACGAGCAGGCGAGTAACCCAGCGGTAATCAGCGAAGGCATGCCAACTAGTAGACAAAAATATCAGAATGCTACACAATTCAAATGCTGCACCAAAGCAAGCACCAAGGCAAAAGAATTACGCTTGATTGAACATACTAGCTTTCCCAGGACATTACAGGCCGGCCGTGCAATATGAAAGGTTTTGTGTGGAAACCAGTCAATGCCAGACCTTGTGCGAAGGGGTGAGCCCGCATGCCCTGGCAAGCCAATGAGGCAACGATGAGATGTGCGTAGAGATGAGCCCACATGGGACATTGCCTGACCAGCCAACAGTGCACCGAGTGGCAGGGGTTAGACAGCATGGTCTGGCAAGGCCATGGGGACACAGTGAGATGTGCGTAGGGATGAGCCAGCATGAACAAAGAATGTAAGCCAACACCGCCCGAAGGGAAAGGACGGACTCGAGAACGAGTCGAGAATAGGTTAAGGTCTTCAAGTGCTTCGAAATTCCAAGGCGCGGCCTAGCGGAGCGCCTGGAATCAAGGGCAGGCCAAAAACCTGTATACTCTTTGATATGTCAAGCCACTAAAGCGCTACTTCCAATAAAAGCTTAGTACAACTAACAGTGAGTCCGCGTGCATTAATGGGGTCAGCTGCTTTACACAACACCTCAATTTCTTCTGGGCTGCTTTTGTCTCGGCCCATGCTGCAATTGGCCTGGCAACTTATACAAAGCCGTAAGTAACAGCGCGATAGTGCAACTTGCAAGGTGTTAACAATTGGCACGCCACAACTGAGACAGTAACAATTAATATCGGCCTATCAATAGTTGTATCTCTGTCAATAGGGTCTCATGAGTCATGACACTCTCCTTAGGGTACGACACTCGCCAAACTGTTTGCTGTGTCTACAAAGCACTTTTACCAATATTCAGCATATGTGACCTTTCTGTGAATACTGCTAATGATGAGGCAAGTGAACATCGTTTGTCATCACACCTGTGACGTTTGCAACATGGAAAGGCTCCATTCTAGGAACTTCAGTCTTAACAACATGCGATACATATATGAATGAATGACCGTTACAATGGCTCCCTAAAAGGGAACACGGGTGATGAACCCAACCCTACACTGCAAGGAAAGCGCAACACGCCGGAAAGACAACACCACAACGGGCCGGCAGGAAACATGCAACTTTAGTGTTAGCCATCGGCATACTAAAGTCCATACATGACGAGGGTACGTGGATGTAGGACACACCCTTCACAAACAGGAGCCTTACAGCCTTACAGGGTGGGTGGATCCACGGCCTTCCCTTTCAGATACCGGTGTCCATCACGGGGTTTAACATAAAATACTTACCCTCTCACACACACGCAGAGCCTGTGGTCACAAAACAACAAACGACAAGGCGAAGCACTTGACAATCGTCGTGCCCTTAAGCAAATGGCCCAATCCCCAGTTGCGATGTATCTGAAGTAATAGTAAAGCAAACTTCAGCACTACCCTTGTCTTCCAGTTGCCATTGCTAATAACGTCTTAGTTGGCTCGGTATGGCTCATTGCTTAATGAGGATTGACCGAAGCCTTTGGACCTTACAAGAGTTGATGCTCTCGCTTAGGCAGCTGGACGCTGCATTGAACACCACCATGACAACGCTTGTATCATCTACACGCCACGCGCCATTCCATTTAACCCGCCTAGACCATTGTGACCCAACACATGCATGCCCACACATGGACACGCAGCACCAGGGCAGGTCATGAGTTCGGTCAGCCTGATCCAGTAAGCATCGTAGCGTTTTCCTGGCGTTGACTATGTAGTACAAAGATACGCTTCCGCATTGTAAGCAGTCCACAACCTGTTTTCACGTATCCTGGCAAAGGTTTGAGCATGGCCTGTTGACGTGACACACCATGGAAGGCGACGAACTTTGAAGGGGAGGGAGAGGGGCGTGTTGCAAGGCTGGTTAGCGAGGGCATGGATTTAGCTACCACACGTGTATAGGGATAAGAACGAAGTTAGCTGGAGTTTATGCAGCGGCGCGTGCTGAGGATACGTGCTAGGAGTATGCCAACAAGGGCTGCGGGGCGCTAAAGTGCAGATACGTGGGGCTGCAAACGCGCAGGACCTGCAGTCCCACGACTGGGGCAGGGGCGGGGTGAGGGCAGGGCCGTGCCAGGCACTTCTGGTCTTTTCAGCCCTGGTTAGGAAGCGGAATTTACACTGGTTAGGAAGCGGAAGTTACACTGGAGGACAGTAGCTGAGACCATCGTCAGACGTACATTCTAACAGGGCGTCGACCGCCCTACCCCAGGGGGCACGCCGTGCACAAGGCAGGGAACCGTGCCCAACAGATACAGGGACAGGCAACTAGGTCCCAGAGAAACAACACAGAGAGGCTGCCAAATCAGCTCCCTAAAATCCGACATGCAGGCACTGCCAACCCAGCACCTGGAACAGGGGCCGGCAACCAGGGTCTCAGAGAAATGCTACACACAGATGTCTGCCAAATCAGCACCATAAAGATCGCGGCCCGCAACCAAAATGAAACTGTCACGAAGAAGGCCGTTAGTGGGAATAGCGCGAATGCACGGCAGAACGCATAAACATTTGGCGACACGAAGGCGCCTGGCACGTGAAACGCGAGTGAAATAGGAACGGAAGCTGATCATCGATGTTAAGGGCGAAACCGCACCACGGAAGGATGCAGGAAGACGCAGGGACCGTACTAACTGCAGATTGGACGGTGAAATTCGGAGGGACCACAATTGTGTGGGACGCCGCTATATTGTAAACGGGCCGCAGCGACAGAAACATACATGACAAAAACAGTGAAGAACGTAATAAAATCGTGCGTAGGAAAAGAGGCGACGTGACAAGTGCAACACGGTTAAACAACCAACCGTAGCCTCAGCCCCCTGACCTCCCTCCCAACATGTGCTACCCACGTCCCTAACCGGTACCTGTTCACTTCTTAGCAATCCATACTGGGCTAAAGCAACAGAAGGCAGTGCTAGGTGTGCGGCACATAGTAACGGTCAACGAACTGTAACCAACGGTTAAGGGGGCGGGGTGGCCCCCTACCCCATACCCCCGACCCCGTCCACTATCCTTTTTACTTGCTTTGTGACACCCCGCCGCCTCCCATCCCCTTTGCTTTGCCCTTATTGTGATTTCCTATGGTTTGGTATGTTGTTAATTCCCCATCCGCTACCCGCCTGCCCTCTCACAAACTCTTTCCCCGAGTAGAAATATTTACGGAAAAAATAGCCCACCCAGGGGGGGGGTAAGAAATTTTCTTATAAACCCCAACCCGAAATTTCCAAAGAGAAGGCCTCGGAGCCACCCACCCACCGCCAAGCGTGTCGTACAACCTGTAAACTATGCCAAAACGCCCGGGAAAAAAGCGTCTAGGTTCCTCTGCGCAAGCTCTATTAAATGCAGTCGAAAACCCCAAACCCCCTGGGAAGTCACAGCGTTGCACTATGGACGGCTAAGGTAACCATGTTCTTGGCCCCAGCTTGACTGATGTTATGTATTTGGCGCCTAGGAAGCACCACGGCCCTTCCATTTGCGCCATACCACCGCCAGTTCTGTTTTCACCAACCGAGACAACGGCGCCACCACGTTCCAGGTCCCTGCTCCTGCCTCCTCTTCCCCCTGTGCCGCTGGGCCCTCGATCATTCCCCTTGGCACCAATTCCCACGCCTGCTTGCTTCTGTGCTCTGCATCCCCACCCCATTCGTGGTCACTGTAAGTGCTTTCTCGCAGCTCAGTCTGTCTACTCCAACCCCGCATCCTCAGTCGTGTTCCACATCCATGGGGACATGCGACATGCTGCTATGCTAGGCTTTTACAAAGGGCCGACTAGCCGCGTTCGCAATATATGTTTTCTACATAAGTTGTTTCTTGTACGTTTGGGGATTGGGCAGTTCCGTTCGGCTACCGTGGTTCAGAGGTGAAGTGTCATTGGAACATCGGAAGCCGAGAAGTGACCATTTTGTTGATAGAACTAGTTCTACGTATAAGAAACGAAGAAAGGATGGCAATACAGCTTTCAAAACCCTAACATGAGGCCTGGAAAAAATTTTCCGGAGGTTCATGTAAAAAAAGTCGTTGGGGTCCTGAACCCACCCACCCACCCCTGCCGTACAACCAACTTTGCAAGCCCATAACTTTTTCCCTACAACTCCAAACAGAAATCTGAAAGCAGATTCGGAGTCCCGACGCAAAGCGCCTTCAATTTGAGGGTTGGGGTCTATTTTTGCGCTTCCTACCCCCCCCCTGGCCCACCAATGAATATTGAGCTAGAAGTGCGGTGAGTGGCGTTCATGTGACCAGACCAGGAGGCGCCTCATCATCCCCCGACTCACCAATCACTATAGTCATCCAAGGTCCCCCCCCCTCCCCCCCGCCCGTCAGTTGCATCGTCAGTGTCTCATTATTTTTTATCCCCCCCGCCCAACCCGCGCTGTGCGTGAGAGGCAGTGCAGGCCAGCCCCTTCCCCAACCGTTAGGTGGCAGCACGATTACTTGACGCGATTTTAGGGTGTACAAGAAGCACGGGGAAGGTGAAAACCGGAAACTGAGGCCCCTTCCCCTGCCACAGCCATGATGAGGACCCCCATACCCTTCAACCGGTACCCTTCCTTGGCGTTCATTTTGCCCGTCCAGGTGCCTCACTATCCTCCGGCTCACCAATTACCATAGCCATCCAGTGTCCCGCACCCTCTTCCCGCTCCCCCTCCCCACTAGCAACCCATGGTGAAGCGCCATCATACAGCTCGTCAGTTTCTTCGTTTTACCCCCCCCCCACCCACCCACACACACACACCTGCGGCCAGTTTTCTTAACACACACCTGCGCTGTGCTTGAGAGGTCATGCAAGCCGCGAGGCCCCCTTACCCCCGAACCGGTACCCTTCCTAGGAGTTCATATCCCCCAGCTAGCCTTTACTTGGTCCCCATGTCGTGAGCTAGCATAGCCGGCAAGGCATGCGCAAGCGCCCCTCTTTTTCCTATCGTCACCATCGACTGCCACGTATTATGTGCCTGTTTGTTTTATACCAAACCATGCATGATTGCTGCAAGGGCCCGTGCTGTTGCTGTACAATACACCTCAAAACTTCCTAAGAAACATAACGGGTCATGTTTCGGTTCGGTCTGGTAAGGACTCCTTGCACACGCTAACAAGTGCAGGCGGTGACCAGACTAGCGCTGCCATAAGCCACCAGCCGCACTAAAGCAAGCGTTGCGTGCTCCTTTTTGGCCTGCCCTTGATTACAGGCGCTCCGCTAGGTCGCGGCTTGGAAGCAAGGGAACAGCCTTAGGGAACACCCGGGCCGACTTCAGGGACTTTTTCTCCGAAACCACCAAAATCGCTGCTCCTCAAAATTTAGCGCGTTTTCAAACTATGGCACAAAGCATTGTCTACAATCCAATAAGCAAAGAAACCAATGCAAAGGAGGGGGAGCATGTTTCTTGAATGGCTATCGTTGGCTTGTGGTGACCATGCTTAGCAGCGTCAAAGGGCTGATCAAGGAAGAAGTCAAATTGGTGCAACCCATGGGCAAAGTAGGCTTTGGTCACTAGCCTGCACGTGCACATGTACCCCTGCTGCCCTTTCCCGAACTCTCCGGCGGCAGCCCCTCCGACGTTGCGACACCATTTGACAGCGCCGTTACCTCCCTGCTTTCATGTCTCTGTTTCATGGTTGTTCTTGCCTGTTGTTGCTGTCCTTGCCCCGCCGCTGAATTGTAACTGGAAGCACCTGGCACGCCCTCACCGGCACCCGCATGCTGCTGCACATTAGGGCGCTCACACCGCAGTCAACACGCACCATTTGGGCAGGCCATGAGGTCGCTTCGGTCTGGTCAGACGGGTGCCAACCACAAGGACAGGCCGTGAAATCGATTCGGTCATAGGCTTTGGTGGGTCACCAATTATAAAATCCTGTTAATAGCCATCTTAGATAGTCTTCCTTTAAGCGTTGCAGGTCTTCCCACTGCCTTCAAATAATTACCCATGTCCTGCTGGTTCCCGTAACCGCATGCAGGGCTGACCCGCGACAATCTTACCTTCATTTCCCAGGAGTTTTCGGATTCCTTTGGGAATCCTATAACGGATCCTGGAATCCTCCAGTTCATAGGATTATCAGTAACCCCAAGCATCCCATGGGAGGCAAATATGACAATGAGCCCGGCAACTGGCTTCCAAACAGCAGTATGGACTGGTCAGGGACCCCAGCAACGCTCTTTGCTCGTGTACTTCCAGTCCAGTTACTTGGGAACGTTCAATTGGTCAGCATACACTGCACCTACAAACATGACCAGCCAGGTATGGACTCTCCACGTAATGAAAGCCTACGAAACGTTACTAACGCGTTTTTTTAACAATTCTATATGCTAACGCAGAACAAAATCTCGTTGATTCAGCTGCGGATAGCCGCCTCGGTTCTGAGCGTATCATGTCTCTGCTGCTCGGTTGCTTTCCTCATGTCCGCTATGTACGTGTACGTGAGGTATGTATAATTGTGTATGCCTTGCAGCAAGGCACCTCCATACCTCGTAACTACGTTTCTGCTATAGAAGTGTGTAGTCGGTTGGTCTAACTAGTGCTTGCACAAGATCCAAGTTGGTGACTACTTGGTGGTGCTTACTCCCGCCTAGGCTAGTGTCCGGGGAAGAGCTGATGGCCACACGGCTAACAAGGTGTCGGGCTGAATGAGCTGGTTAGCCGGCATATATATTGCAGCTAGGTCTCCAGCATCGTGTGTCAAACTATGTGTGGGTTCATGGTGTGCTGTACCATACTATATATATGCGATAATGGGGCGTTGACCGACATATCATGCCCAGCGACATACAACTTGTATCGTCCTGTGCTATGTGACATCACATTATGTTGAATGAGACACAGTAAGCTATACCACACTACACTGCACCGGCAATCCCCTGCCTACCGTTTATGGCTATGGATGGCTAGTAGAATGGATCTCAGGAAAATGTTTGTCGCTGAAGAAGTCAGTCGAGACGTCGTTGTTTGGACTTCTCATAAAGGCAGGGACCATGGCGAAGGACAATTTTTATGTCCGTGCCCTGTTTTCAAAGCCGAGACGCTAGCTTCACAGCTTGTATGTGAAAACCGCAACCGGTAGCGCACTCCTTGTGCTGTAAGACCGTCGACCCATCTCAAGCAGCAGTGCACGTGAAGACGTTCCTTTCCAGCCGACGTGAATGAACGAATGCAAAGCATCTTTGAAAGCGTCCTCATCCTATGCCGTCCATCGTCTGTGCTTCTTGAAAGGTGGTGGACAAGCCACTCTTCCATTGGCTGCCTAAGTGCTTTATTACCACCGCTCCTTATAACCCTAGGTAAACAAAATTAGTAATTTTGCGGCAGCGCATGATGGTTTCGGTGCGGCTGCCGTACAGTTCCTATATATCCCTGCATTGTCGTCCACAAGATACGAAAGCCTTCCTTTAACACAGGCACAGGCATTACCACTTTACAAGATTAACATGTTAGGCATTGGTGAACTAAATCCTGTACGAAGATACTTCTTTCACAAGCAGGAGCTATCAAACTGTCCAGCTTCCATCTGAGAACAGTTGCTTTGATGTGGTGTACACAATGAGCATCATAACTACACATAGTACAGGATTCATAAGAAGACAGAATGCTCTCTTACCCACGACCAAAATAAAGGATACTAGAGGTATCGTTTGTTACACAAAACAATAGTACGAAATCGCTTAGGCTACCCAGGCTTCAAGCATGAGAGCTATGGACGGCTCCCCGTGTCGGACTTTTAATGCCGCGGGGAGGTCCAAATGCACGGCTTTCTCTCTTACGCGGGGAGGCCTATGCCTTCATTCCTTTGGTGCCGCAAACCTGATAACCTCTGAGTCCGCCCCAGGTCCCCTGAAAGTTCCGATGCATGCTCTGTTACAGAAGGCATCATGAATCTTCGGTGATTACGCTGCAAGCTTTTTGTATACAAATATTTCACTAAGTTCTTAACTGTTCGTTGCCCCATGGACCGTATGTATGTATGTATGTATGTATGTTACAAGCTTCAGGCTCGTAAGGCCCAGACGAGCCAGTAGGCTTAGGGGCCATTCACATATGAGTGATTTTGGGAATGAGTGCGTAGGAGCGCGTAGGGGAAAATTGTTCATATTGTAATTTTTAATTACGTTTGGCCTGGAATTATTTTTAACAACGCCTGAGTTCAAAAAATAATTCCATAGGTGAAACATGAGTGAATCATGAGTGACGTTGAGTGAAGTGAGTGAAGAAACTCGTGAGCAGGCGCCCCCTGGTAAACAGCATCCCTATGCCAAGCGCATACTTCGGTTGCTTTTCTAGACTCCGCGACTGCATATTTTTGTTCTCGATATACTACTTTCTCATAGAAAGCTTTGCGCGGCCTCGCGCGGTGCGAGTTTGACGAATTTGCTAACGTTGGTCGCGACCAGCAACTACCGCGTGCGCATGGCTGCGGAGACCTGCGAAGAGATCATCTTGGCAGGTCTACGCAGCCGCTAGCTTCCTGCCCTGCTGCCCGTGTTCGGTCGCGGTCGCGGCATTTCGACTCTCACTGTACGCCCGACCAATGTGAACGCGTATTGAGTTTTTTCGACTCATTCACGCACCCTCACTCAAAAGGACCTCCCCCCGTAAATCCCCCCGTAAATCCCCCCGTAACGAAGTGGAGGGGAGGATTGGAGGACAGTCGGTCGAAATTGTGTCCGTTTGTCTGTCTGTCTGTGCGTCCGCAGAAGTGGCGGCAACTTCCTTCATATATGAATGGCCCCTTACGGACCGCCCGAAAAACAAGCAGAGAAAGCAAAAGAGAAAGCTGTAGGCATCAATATCGCAAAGCCATACGCAGTGCTTCCACCCAAGAGTGAAAGCAGAGGTTGTCCGGTTCAAAACTGATATCGGGTGAGTTTACCAGCCTCATAGTATTCAATTTCCGCACCGCCACACCACTTGGGCCTGAGTGCCTGCTCCTGCAGCTTTTTGAAAACTCCCATCCGCTCCTTCCGCAGCTCACGGCCAGAGTCAGTGAGGTAGGGCGTAACCGTAACTCCCTCTCCCTCAGCCTCTTCGCCGCCTGGATTACCCGGCCACGCTCCAGCGGTTTCACCTCCATGACAACACTCCAGTTTCCTAATGCAGTCAGCCAGCAACGCTGGTACTTCATTCCCTCACTCACTCCAATGGCTCCCTCGCCTACCAGCCAGTCACATTCGTTAGCTTGTAGCCTAGCTAGCTGCTCCCGGTTCACACTGCGCAGCAGGATCTTGTCTTCTTCCTCCATCGACTCAGCTTTAGGTGAAACAGGCTCGCCCGCAGGTACCGCCAGTGCCACCTGCTGCCTCAAGTCACTGAGGCTACTCACCTTCTCCTGAAACTGGGTGTCCAGTTGTGCTACTTTGATCTCCATCGCATGCACTTGCTCCTTTAAGGCGGTCACCTCTTTGTCCACCTTCACCTCCTTCACTTCCCTGTCTTGAACGTCATGGCCACATATGCTAGCGCTGCGTCGGTTCGTGAAAGCCGGCTGAAAAGCTCACGCAGGATCTCTTCAGTTGATAGCTTCTGCAGAATGTATCTCTTGTAAAGCTCGTCGCCTGGCGCCCAGTCATCATCCCACCATGCGTTCGCCGCTGCTTGCATGCCGTCTTCTGTCGTGCTGTCTTTTTCCCCGCTGCTATCATCCATGTCTTCAATGACGGAAAACGAATTTCGAGTTAGCAATCGGGGTATGTATGTATGTATGTGTTACAAGCTTCGTACCGAGCTCGTAAGATCCGTCCGAGCCGGAAGGCTCATGGATCGCGAGCACATAACGCGAAAACAACCAAAAGAAGAAAAGTAAACAAAAGAGACAACAAACAGAACGCTAATCATATGATAAACCCTGTCTGCGCAATCCTGCGACTTCGCATGCTAGTGATTACGCTAGCAAGCAATGCCTGATTCTCCATGCCCATGACAGCAATCATATCAGCATCCCGTGAGACACCACTTTCCCATATCTTATCACGCAAATCATCGTAAGCGGGACATTCAATGAGGATGTGTTTCTCATCTTCCACTCTCCCCGGCGACCCCTGCACGGCACACATAGGACAGACACGCGCTACTCGTTGCCTACCCCTAGGGCGATTGGCTTCAATGCCCCACACACACAGCCGAAAACGCATCAGGTTCACATGCTGCCGCTGAGTAATGTACCCCCTGTCAACCGGGTCACCCATCCAATTTTTGTACCTGCACATCTTAACTCCAACCCCTGGTACGGGGTCTACTGGGTTGAAAAGCCGCGGGTCATCTTCCAAACTCCTATCCTCCCAATCTGCATCCATTCTATCAGCAAACTTTTTAGTGAGAGCAGACACATTTAGCTCCGTGCCAGCAATACGTTCCACACGCGCACCCAAGTCCAACTCACCCCCCAAGGCCGTCAAATCCGTCCCTAACATTTTCAGAATCTTCAACACCTAATCGGGGTGAAACATCTCCAAGCGCCGCCATCGGGTTTGGGTTATCCTGCTGTGAGCGCTTAAGAAGTAGATTACGTGCCAAGGCTACGAGCTGATACTGCGAAGTTGGCTCGCCCCTTTATGGGGCGTAGTCTTAGCGTTCGGTCCTAATTGTCCAGACCGAGACCTTTTGTCCTGTTTGTACCGTGAACAGTCCTATGCCTGTCCTTTTGTACGTGGTGTATGTACCTGCAGCGAGGATGTAAAATGAGGAAATAAAGATGTGATGGTGAAGGCATAATTGTGTAGTTTTGGCTTGTCAAGTCTGCGTAGTCATGCGAAGCTTGAGGTAACATTGCGATTAGCGATATGCAGGCGCGGCGTGAACGAAGGAATCATTTAACCAGACCGAAGCGATCTCATGGCCTGCCCAAATTGTTGTGTAGCTGGCATGGAGGGCTGACGGTGCGGTGGGGTGGTTGGGTGTGTGTTTGCGGCCGTTTACGAGGGCGGCTGACGAGGGGGGCTGACGTGGCTGGTTAGGAGAGTGCCACATGGGCGTCCCGTTTGGGAGGGTTGGTTGGCAGCGTAGTAGGGACACATGAGGGAGGCGTTTACATCGTTGAGCGGCAGGCCAACACCGGTGCCATTGTCTACAGCGAATCGCGGGCAGCGATCCCTACGGATGCTATTTAAGCATGTATGGCATATATGCCCTATGCCAGTTCGGGCTACCCATCCTGCAAGGTTTGTTGCCCACACTTCGCTGAGGGTGTCATACATGGTATCCGTGACCTCTACCACTGAATGTTTGAACAGACGTCGCTCACAGCAGCAGCATGCGAACGAGCAGGTTTGGGAGAACGCTTCTCTGCACGCCTTCTCAGCAGCTTCGACACACGAGTGCGTGCTGGTGGTCGGGAGCCCAAGGCCGTCGGAATCCACATCTGCCTCGTTCTCGGTGCCGGGTTCGTCTTCATCTGAAAGGGCATGGCGCGAACCCAAAACTCCGTCATCTATGTATCTCAAGCAGCAAGTGTGCACTAAGGCTTATCCAACGTTTGTGCGCTTAAATGAAGGCCGGAGCTATAGAACCTTTGTCAATGCCCCACAACTAGCAAATATTGGCAAACAACCAATAACCCACCAATGTCACCATCCTCCACACCGCTATTGTTGCTGACATTATCCTCTGATGAACATAGAAGACGCTGAGTTTTCGCCAACTGCCGAAGTCGGTAGTGCACTTGATTGTACGTGGCAGCACTTCCATTCAATTCCTTTACGACAGCGCCCGCTGTTACTTTTCTGTTGGTGGATTGTACGTTTTGCTAAGTCTGGTTCCATGCGAGAATGTTGCTCCGAGTCCACAACTACCTTTGGACGGCCGTCTGCCGGCCTCAAAATTCTATTATAATTTAATACTAAAAGGTTATAAAGGCGCGAGCGCTATCTCTTAATAGAGAGTACAAACTTTGGGTGGACGGAATTACCCCCCTGACGGAATTAGGCCGGGTCACCTGTACTCCACTTGTACGCTGCAATGCGTCTATCTCACAACATATTCACACAGATATAACAGTCGGCAGACGTGTGGGCAAGAAAGTTATGCACAGTTAAAAAGCGAAGCAAGTTTGTTGTTCGTTTGTGTCTGGGAAAAGCATTGCGGAACACGCGACCATGAAGGCACTTTTATATAAAGTGCCATTATTATGAAAGGTGCCATCTCCAAAACAGAACAGTAATCAGTATACAATGACCTTCGAAGCAAAGCTTTCCTGGTGCATGCCAATCGCAATGGCAATGTGCCATGCGCAGTTGTTGCACATACACATGGCCCGGAAAGTATAGGTGTGCACGATTGATGGATGGGCACCCGTTGCTGCTGCCTATCGAAAAGCGAACAGATAGCGTTGATTGCACACGCACAATGATGCTGTTCTTGACGCACATGGGCCGGAAAGCGGTAATTGCAACGTGCTCTACCGTGGGAGACCCCGACGCACATGGGCCGGAAAGCGGTAATTGCAACGTGCTCTACCGTGGGAGACTTCGCTATGTGTTCCTAGGGCTTTTGCAAAGGGTTTACGAACCTGTACAACACCTAAGCTTCCACATTCTGCACAACCCCCACTTGTAACGTTGTGCGCATTGTCCAAAGGGGCACACACAGACGTTAATGAAAATGCGACGATGATGAGAGAAGCCGACCAAGGAACGACGTCAAAACTTGGTGGTTAGAAGTACCCAACATAGGTTTGCAGGCTCCGTGATGACAAAACTTTGCAGGTTACGGCTGTGTGCTGCTCGTGCGCCAGCCGAAAGAACGACAACATGCAGGCCACATCACACAACAACCAGCACCCAGACACCATCCTCAACTAACGTGCGGGTAACCACCCCTACGTCTGGGGGGAAGAAGGAAAGACCCCCCGAATACACCCAGGATTAGTCGAGGGGGGGGGGTCGCTATAAGTCCCACGTCATTACGGCTCCGTGGTGTGTATTGAGTAATAAAGGCAATACCGAAGCCATTGGTGTCGGCCCTATTAAACTACGCTGCTGGCCTTACCGCGACAACAACCTAACGGATACCAACGTGTAGCAAGCTATCAACATGCGCTTAAAGCCTCTTCTTTTGTAACTTGTTTTGTACTTTGTACGACACAGGCCAACATCACTGCTCACCCATATACACATCATTATTTTAACATCACAATACATCAAACACCTGTGCCATGATTATGTGACGAACGCTGCAGCTAGAAACTCCTCTCTACTCATAACAATCGTTCTTGACTTGGAGCCACATCGCAGGTTGTCTTTGTGACTTGCATATACACATTCAAATTTCAAAACTTTTGCACGAAAAAGATGCCAAAAAGCTCACGCGAAAACATATTAAATTTGCCGGGGTGTTCACTAAGGCTGTTCCCTTGCTTCCAAGCCGCGGCCTAGCGGAGCGCCTGGAATCAAGGGCAGGCCAAAAACCAAAATGCTGTTGTCCAGAGAAGCACCTGCGAATTCGAGTGTCTGTCTTCCCGAGGGGGTCAATCGGTACAGCGCCCCTACCCCCTAAGATTACGATTACGATTACGATTACATGGTACGGTGTAGGGCCCTCCCGCCCTACCGCACAACCTCACGAACCATTCCGGTCAAGAGGTGCAATAACAACCAGAAGTTCGCGGGGAGACAGAACGTTGTAGAAGGTGGTCACCTATTAAGCGCGACTGGACCTACACGCATAAATAGCATGTAGAAGGCTCGCCAATTTAGCAACATCAAAACTCCACATAATATTAGCCATATCTGCATCGGTGGGGTGCGGCAAATCAGGAAAGCCAACGGCCGCTCTCAAAGGAGCGTAACATACGCATTCCATCAGGACATGGAACTCATCCTCCACGACGTCCGTATCACAAAAACGGCATAAACGCTGCTCTCTAGCTACGCGCTGTGCCCCGTTACCAGGCCGATTCACCGCAATATCCCAACAGCCAATGCGAAAACTAGCTTCAGCAAGCACTTCGTCATCGCAAGCCGTTCGGGCAAAATGGTAATGCGCTAGCCCCATATCCTTCTGACAATACCCCAACATAGCCAGCCACGACTGCTCACGAAGAAATGGCCTCACCACAACGGTAAAGCCACCCCCACCAATGCCCAAAACAGCCTTCAAGATAGACGTTAAGTGCACACGAAAAGTGCGCAAAGCAGGCCAGTACAACCGAAAGCATCCCTGCAAATGCCCAACCTCGTTGCGCAAACCACGTTCATAAGCCACAAAGCCAGCCGTGCAATGGGCGTGCAATCCAAGCTCCAACAATGTTGACCCACGATACAGGCACATCCGCAAAACGCTGCGAAAGCGTAAGGCTCCACTCTGTAAGCGGAAAAACTTCTGCTTTGTCGTTGCCAGGAACGAGCAACACCATATGTCCTTGCAAATTCATCCGCCTCCTCGCGTGAGCCGCCACCTGTCCCATATCCCACAACAGGACGAGCAACACCTTCACGGAGGACATCAACAGCGCCAACAGATGCTCCATCAGCGTCATGGCCAACTGGAGAGCCTGACATTCGCACGAATGCCTGTAAAGTAGCCGCGTGTCACGACTGCTTAAAATAAACACAACCTGCTGAAAAGAAGATTCCAACAAAACTATAAATTGTAGCGACGACCGCCAAACACACGGCGCCGGAAGAATGGCAGGCCGCTATAACAAAAAACATGGAATGCCATGAAACGCGCTAACCAGAAAACGAGTGAATTCCTACAAAATCAACGATCGGTAATGACGCATAGACCCTACCGCGCACTGGCGGCACAGGAGCTGCGGCACAGGAAAGAGTGACCAACTCCAAATCGCTAAACTAGCTGGTAATTTGCTGTCTATACTTCAAATCGTTTGATATCGTGTAAATCTGGCAAATGCTCGTGGACAATTCGCAAAGATTGCATAGTACGCCGTACTTATCGGCCCAATAGCCAGTTACGCAGCATTTGCGTATCCGAAAACGCTCTGAAGCAATTTTGCTAACAATTAATACCAAGTGTCATTCACCGGCAGGGCATACGCGCGCCAAGCCAGAACCCTACAGCGCATCCCTTGCTGAGAACGCGACTAGCCCGCTGTCCAGTCCAATTGCTATCTGGCAATTGAGAAGGTCTTCTTTAACTCACGAGACTGTATGAAAAATACACCCGAAAGGGACCCACTGGGGTTGGGCGTTGGTGAGGGCGGGGGATTGGGGCCAGGTGTTGGGAATAATTAAAGATAAGTGCAGCAACGGAATCCCAGTCTCAAATACCGCCGGGGAAGGGAGGGGCTGTGTTATGGGTGAGGAAGGAGGGGTAGGAGGGGCCGGGGTAGGAAAGGGGGGCAAGGGGAGGAGTGGGGAATGGGTGGTGGCCGCTTGGCAGGGAGCGGAGGGCAGGGGAAGGGAGAGAGGTGTGCGGGGTAGGGGCCATAGAAGACCCTAGCCACTTGTAGCAGTGAAGGAGCTGAGAAGGGATGGGTAAGGCGAGGGAGGGAGAGAGGAGCTGGAGGGGGGAGTTATGATGGGAACCTAGGGTTACAGGGAGTCTGAAGTGGAGGTCGGGGTTCGCTCTTTCGTGTGTCTTCGTAACCGCGTGTGTGTGACCCTCCTGCCTTACCGGGCCATGCGCATGTGTTTGCACGGGTTGTTTGTACGGGTACCGATGTTGAGCGCCCTACGATAGGAGAAGGGCCGTCAGGGCTGCTAGTCGGAAGGAAAGAAAGTAACGTGAGGGTATACCTTGTCGTCTGACCTGTGCCAAGTGGTTAGTATGGTTTGCATTGCTCGACGCACAGGGCATGTTGCTGTCCGCACTTCCCTCCCCGGCAACCCCGCGCTGCACCCCATTAACTACTTGTAGCAGCTGCTGGGCGACCCGGGGGGCGACAGCCAGGTGGATACCAACCAGCTGCTTGACTACTTTGGGGCTTGGCGCTGGTCGGTGGTGAGGGCGGGGGCTCCCCGTAAGCAACAGCTGTGCAAGGCATCGGCGCACCCCTTTTATTTTACTGCAGTCCGCCCATACCGGCCACGAACCGTGTGTCATCCGGACTAGTCGCCACGGCCGGGTCTTGAAGCTCCGACATGTCCATTGGCCATCGGAGCTTCGATCGCTTGACGGATAGGCTGAAGGGGCCGGAATCTGGATGTGCCGGACACCATCTGCCCCCGTAACCTCCTCCCCGACCCGCGGACCGCAATGCAACGCGCCACGCACTAGATCACCGAAGCCCTCTAGGCGCTCAGCTACACTGGCTGCTGCTGCTCTATCTCTGTCTAAAGGCCCAGCTGTGGCGCCGTGGTCCGTGCTGGCAGAAGGAGGATTGGCTAGCTTTGGCTGTGCCACAACGCTACAACCTAAATAATTATGTAAGATGCATGTTGCAATGCCAAAGAACCGTGTCCAGTTGTTCATTGTGGGCCTGAGCCGCGCTTTCACGCGCAACGTGGTAAGGATGCGCAATAGGGTTGTGGCTTGGCGCGTCTAGGCCCTGCCGGTGAATGGTAACTTGTATCAAATGTTATCAGGATTAACTTAAGAAGGTTTTCGGGTATGGGAATGCTGCAAGTTGGGCTATGAGGCTATTAAGTACGGCAAGCTGTGGAATCTTTGCGAAATGTCCACAAGCATTTGCCGAATTTACACCATATCAAAACGCGTGAAGTATCGACAGCAAATTACCAGCTAGTTTAGCGATTTGGAGTTGGTCACTCTTTCCTGTGCCGCAGCTCCTGTGCCGCCAGTGCGCGGTAGGCGCATAGACAACAAGCGTAGAAGGAATGAATAAAGGTATACGACTCTCGTCCAAAAGCGACAGAACGCTTGTCCGGCATCGTACGATAACACTGTGGTCGGGACTGCCATAATATACACATACATACAGCAGACACCTTTAGCACAATAGTTTAGAAGTCGTCCTTGACGCAGGTGTGCGCAAAGGAAACCCCTCACGAGATCTCTTGGGAAACCCGACTGCAAATGATGAACGTTCTCTCACCGGCCCGTGCGCCAAAAGGCTGCCGCACCATGGGTGTTGCCTGTCACGCAGTCAGTACCCGACGTGTCCTTTTGGGTGTTGGAGTGCTTCCTGTTATTGCAAACACTCCTAAGGCGCTGGCGCTCATTCCAGGTAGGCCATCTCTTTGCTTAGGGCGCCTGTTGGTGAGTATTAACGACTAGGTCATACTCATACGATGCATGTCCATCTTGCCGTTGTCTGGGTTGGGAGGGAGCCGATACTACAGTAGCCTGTAAAGTCTTTCACCGCAAACAGACAAGTCCTAACCAAGCGACTTTTGTCGTTTCAGACGAGGAGGACGAACGTTTACTGGAGAAAGCCAAGGCCAACCGGCGCGCCCGCCTGGCCCAGCAGCGAAGCGTGACGCGGGACTTCATGGCCTTCGAAAACCTCACAGACGGACGCCTTGGCCGAGAATTTGCACCTGCTCAAAAGGCCATATACAAGCTCGCTAGGGCTGGGTATCAGATGGAGGCTGGAGACCTGAATGGCGCTGCCGTTACTCTGTCTGAGCCTTGGGTGATGGACTTCTCCGTTGTGGCGATCAGTGTGTCTGGTGCCGATGACGCTGGAAAACTGGCTACGGCCATCAAGGCTGTCCAGCTTGCTGCAGCGGCCGGTGATGTAGCGAACTCTAAGCGCCTGTTTGTTTCGTTGATATCTGATGTGAAGAGCTGGGCATCTGTAGCGGGCCTGCGTAGTAGCCTTAAAGGCCTCTGATGTAGCATAGTGCGGAAGTGAAGTGGATCTGTGCATCTGTCGGTTGAGGGTCACTCTACCGGTAATCGCCGGAGCAATGTAGCGACGTCGTCGGAGTCGGAGGCCGACGTCGAAGACAGAGCCGGAGCAAGCGGAAGCAGTGTAGTAGGAAAGGGTTCAATAGGGGGGGTCATGTCCACTTTTTTTGGCAACGTGACCGTATGACCTCAAACCCCCCCTCCCCCGTAACAAAGTGTGGAGGGGAGGATTGGAGGACAGTCAGTCGTTGGTCGGTCGGAACTTAGTCTGTCTGTTCGTCCACAAAAGTGGTGGCAACGTGCTGACACCCTTTAGGGTATATGACCGCACAGCTGGTGCTATTGCGGTCCCGGGTTTATTTTTTCCAGCCCCCCTCTCTTGCCCGTTCCCCGCCTTCTTGCCCCTTTCTCCCCTTCAGCACCTACCCCCACAGAGCTATCAGATGTAAGCATTGCCATCTTAAACCGCGCAGCTGCCGCCAAACGGGATGAGGGCTAGGGGCTTTCAGGCGCAGTAATCCAGGATAGACCCCTTCTCGCCACCTGGTTGACTCTTTGCGGCGTACATCATGTATGGAATTGGAAACATCAGTGGCTATTGTAGTTCCAATTCCGTCGAGAGCAATCTCCTTTTTCCAGCTCCTGTTTCCCGGCCTTTTCCCGCCTTCTTGCCGCTTGCTACCTTTTAGTTCCTGCTGCTAGAGAGGGATCAGAAGCGAGCATCATCACCTGAAAGCGCCCAGCCGTTGGGAAACGGGAACAGGGCTAGGGGGGAGGCTAGGGGCTACCTCTGGTGCCTTTTAGGATAGGAAGCGCCTGAGCTGCCGCCATTTATGCAACGCTCAGTAACATAATCCAATTAAGAGGTATGGCTTATTGGCGGCTAGAAAGGATGCGCTGTGAAGAAGTATTTGAGTCACGATTGTAATTCGTAGTTGACAGCTTTTAGCCCAAGCTTTGACATACAGCTGTGCTTTGCAGAAATTCCTAGATCAGGGTTAATGCTTTTGAACACGGTATCGAAAAACAACAACAGCCAAAATGTAAAAACAACAACAGCCAAAATGTGAAAAGAAGACAGAAGAAAACAAAATCCGAGCCGTGCAAGCCCCTATAGCCCCTACCCCCCTCGCCCTCTCCTGAGTCGTGCAAGCCCCTAGCCCCGACCCCCCTAGCCCCCTTCCGAGCCGCGCGAGCCCCTAGCCTGTAACCCCCTCGCCCCCTCCCGAGCCGTATGTAGGCCCTAGCCCCTTCCACCGTAGCCCCTACCTTATACCCGACATGATGACCCATGGGTCACTCCGTCCAACAACCCCTCATGAGCGTAGATCCGGCACGGCCAGTGAAGCCAGCTAGCAAAGCCAACAGCAGGGCCAGCGTGCCAGCAGCGCCCCAGCGCCCCCAGCGCCAGCACCGACAGCAACGATAAGCCATCGTCACCACCACCACCACTGCCCCTACCCCCGTAGCATCTATCCCCATAGCTTGTACCTGCTCTACTGCCACCACCAGTGCCAAGCTGCTACCCCTCAATCCCAACGGCTGCCCCACCGATGCCGCCATCCCGGACACTGCAAAGCCCGGCGCCGTCCCCCTGTTCATCCATCCCGAGCATACCATCTGCATCTTCACGCTCACATACCGCCAGGCACGCCCTTCCGGCTGTACGCCAACCTCTTCCTCGCCCAGAAGGAGGGCTGCCGTGCCCAGCCTTCTGTCAGTGCCATTCTCGGGTACCCACCCCCCACCATCTGCTTTACAGGCCAGCCGTTTCATCGTACCATCCATGAATTCACCAATCCAACATTCCCCGCAACATGCCTTTACAACCTGTCCTATCCAGTAATCCATGCGAGCCTTGGCACCCCCCATCATGGCCTGTCCACCCGCTCTGCCACACATGTCGCAGCCCTGGTGTCAGCAGCTCAGCACCACCACCACCAGCTGCCACATCATCACCAGCAGCACCAGCACCTCCACCGAACACCTGCCTCACCCAGCTGCCTCAGCACAGGAAAACACCGGCACCAGCACAGCCACAACAGCCAATGTCAGCACAGCCAGCAGCCTCAGCAGCCCGCACAGTTTCCTGCCGCGCAGAGCCAGCAGCTAACCGCCACTAACCAGCAGCAGCAGCAGCACCCCCCCTGGCCAACCACACCACATCACCAGCACGCCCCAGCACCATCCGCAGCAATACTTGCATTGCTGGCCAGCTGCCAGCACAATTACAACAACACTAGGAGCACTACAAAAGCCAGCAGTGCCGGCACCACCAGCAACCAACACCTAGCAGAGCCAGCAGCCGCTCCGACACCCCCAGCACCACCTGCACCGCCACCCTCCTAACCCCTAGCCCTACAACAACATGTGCAGCACCATCCCATCCACATAACATACGAAATACCGGCCTTTGCCGCGACAAACCTTTGTGCCTTTCGTCTAGCCAACTTATGCTGCCCCACACACCGCTCCTCTCGGCCTATCTCCTGTCAGCCGACAGCACAGGGCAGCAGGCCTTCCTTTAGCAGCACTTGCAGCCTCTGGCGCAGCTGGGTGGCATGCATGTCTGGGCTGCGGACTTCAACTTTGTGCTAGACCCCGACCTGGACTGTGCCCGGGGCGCTGCCAGCACCAGGGATGTGGCCACTGCCCGGTGCTATGCCGAGGCCTGCCCTGGTTTTGTGGACTGCTTCCGTCACCTCCACCCTGGCCGCCGCTCCTTCACCTACACCCACACTCAGGGAGCTTCCCGTCTTGACCGTATTCTCATCTCCCCGTGTGCGGCTGGCTACCTCCGGGAATGCGACATTGTCTGTGGTGCCCCTGCCGACCACCACCTGGTGGTGGTTGCCCTGGCCGCCGACTACTGAGCAGGGCGGGGGCGCTGGTTCCATGGCCGCGGGTGGTTGTGTAGGATGGGGGTGTGTCATGCGCGCATTGGCGTCGGTACTTGGGGAGAGCGGGGATGCATGCGTACATAGATCGGGAGCGGTGGTAAATGGGCGCGGTAATTGTGTACCGCGTGGCCGCTGGTAGTTGGGCATCTGCGGGTACGCATGCATGTAACGGTGCCGGTTTATAGGCCAGGTGGATATTGCCGGGTCGGTATGCATTGACGCATCGGTGTCGATGCATGCGTGGGTACGACAGGGATGCTTGGGCGCAGGTGGTTGGGAAGGGTGGTGTTGCTTGCATGCATGGCGCCAATTTCCGTCAGGACGAGAGGATTTCTGCACGCATAAGCACCGATGGCCGTGAAAGGCGGGGATGCATGTCCATGTGGGCGCTGCTAGCTCGCGGGGCAGAGACGCCTGCATGCATGGGTTCAACAGGGCGATGGCTGCACGCGGGACTGCTAGTTTGCATGGCACAGGTGGTCTGGTAGGGTGGCAGGGTACATGCGCGGCGGCGCGGGTTTGTCCATAAGAACTGAGCTGCGTTACTGTACTGACTACAGCGGCGGACAGATGCGCGGCTGCTGTGTGGGCGACTGGTTACGACGGGGAGTTGTGTAGTAGTGCAGTGGTACGTAGTAGGATCTGTACTCTATGCTAATGCACAGGTGCCAGTACCGGTACTCCGGCAGGGCACGGCATGGCATGCGCACCAGCATTCGGGCGGGTAGGGCGGGGTTTTGGCACTCCACCTTTGATATACTGCGTGTTTCCTTGGCGTCCTCAAGCCGCTTGTGCATCCTAATAACCGTTTAATTGCTAGCAGCCTTGGCGACAATCGCTGCCCTTCCTCCTGTCATTAAAGCACCCTTCTGCATCCTCACGTTGTACATGCGTGCAACCGCATCTTTCTTCTCGACATCACCTCCTATTCCTACTCTTAGTCCATCCAGCTCCCTCCCGCGAGCTACGGGTAGATAGCTCCCGCCGAAGGCGGGCCTTACTAGTCCACGAACCTTCATGGACCTGGTGTCTGACGGGACCGTAATTACGCAAACCGTAAGAAACATAGTAAATTACGGTGAAGATGGCTCGAAAGGGCACCGTAACGAATTACGGTGGTCGATTTTGGAGCCAAAACTAAGCTGTAATCTTCAATCATTTACCCTTTTTGGCCTGCCCTTGGTTCTAGGCGCTCCGATAGGCCACGCCGTGGAAGCAAGGGAAAAGCCATAGGGAATACCGGGACTTAAGGTCCACGGGAAATTTCCTGTTGGCTCGCCCCGATTAGGGGCGTAGTCTTAGCGTTCACTCAAAATATTCCGGACCGAGGCGTTATGTCCTTTTTGTACCGTGAACATGTCCTATGTTGTATCCCTGTACAGTTTGTATGTACCTGCACCGAGGTCGCAGATTCGGTCGGACAAGGTGGAGTTGTATTCGTTGCTGTGTTTTGAGTATAACGGTATGTTGAAAAAGTGAGAGGCTTAGAGTTCAGAAGACAACCCAATTGTTGTACATAAGGGCGTAGACAAAGTGCTGTTGGCAGGTTTGTCCGCAAGACAACTGGCGGGGCCAGGCTCCGCTTCACTTTCCACCCTGGAGTCTTCCAACCTGCCCTGCCAACCAGCACCGCTCCTAGACTTGTAAAATGATATTACCTTTAAGAAACCTAATAGGAATCCGTTTTTGCCATTACGTCCAACACATTAAGGCCGACCGTTAGAGCCTTTATGCAATGCCACTGAAAACCTACCTTCCTTGCTAAATTAAAGCTGTATTCCTTTAGACACATTGTTTCCCATATCGGTGGTACCTTTAATTGGTTGATTCTTGCTTCTGAACCCCGCCTCGGCAATGACAGAGTCGGATGAGGAGCTCAGCCCTCTTAGTAGCGAAGGTGACCTGTTGTCATGGTCATCTGACGACGAGGATATAGATAAAGCCAATGGGCTGGATGGCGTTGATGAAGAAGCGGACCAGACCGAAGGCGATGACGCGGACGGAGAAGGCAACACTGGCGCCGGGTTACCAATTGGCAGTGGCGCAGCGCTTGGTCTCCTTAACATGCAGCCACCTGGAGCGTACCTAGAGGCAAGCTGCAGTTGGGAATGGAATAGGCAGCGTATGAAAGGGGCCCATTATCATGTTTCCTTGTTCCTTTCTCACCGCTGCTTTCCTTGACGGGCCCTAACAAACCCAAACCGCTCTGCTGTGTGTTCGTGCGTGACCCCTAGCAGGACGCGCAACCATCAAACGCACAGGCGACAGAAGGAGGCGTGACGCCCGACCTTCTCCCCTGTATGCAATCGCCTGTGCTGCGACCGGGCAAGCTCGTCTTCAACACTCATCAAAACCGAGAAGCCACGCTATTACACAGCTCCCCGGGTGGGTCACGTATGGCCCTTGCGTATGAAGGTGGTCGCTACGACGACGGCCGGATGATCAAGATAGACAAGCTCCGTGTCTGCCCCATCGGCGGTCGGCACGACCTGCGCCGCAGCCTTGTCTCAGGACCGAGCGTGGGGCGCCAGGCCGTGTTGATCCTGCGAGGCACGTACGCCGGGCAACTCGGTGTCGTCGACGCGGGGTATATGGGGGGTCCCAAAGCCAGGCTCCGCCCTATCGATGCAGAAGGGCGAGAAAACCGGGCAGTGAACATTGACGCCGTCAATGTACACGCTCTAGCTGATGCTGAGCTCGCCTTCCGCTCCTTCGAGTCGCCTCAGCGAGATGCCCTTCGGCCGTTCCTCGCTCCTGACCAATCCCAAGGCCCCAGCACGGTGCAGTGGTCTCTGCCAGGGAAGGAGCTTGGTTCGCATGTAGCGGCTAGTGATACCGTCGGTGGCGTGCCACAACAAGCAGCGGCAGCGCCTTCCTCCAACAAGGTGTACCGTGTACCGCGCTCTCTGCTGGAAAGCTTCCTTTTGTGGCTCCAAGTAGAGCAGCGTGTGGACTATGCATTGGAGCGCCATCAGGGTGGTAGAAGCAGCAACGCACTGGCGTTCATGTTCAGTGGCAAGCCCTACCCGCCGCCACTTCCCAGACAGCGTAAGCTCGCGTCATGTAAGCTCGTCTGTAGCCGGGGAGCAAGTAAAGGACAGGGTATACGGCGTACTCTGCGGGTGGGCTGCCCTCACAGCCTGCTGCTCTCCATCTTCATAACCGATCCTGACATCGTGGTGGTAGAGGAGAAGGCGGCGCATGCGTACCACAGCTTCGATGACCAGCAGTACCTGCGCCTGGTCCCTGAAGTGGTGGCGGCCATCGAGACGTACGCGGTTAAGCAGTCCCTACCACCGTCGGAGGTGCAGCAGCTTGTATCCGACAACATTGAGGAGTACGCCAGGCCGTACGTGACTGCGGGCTGTCTATCTGTGGAGGCAGCCGTAATGTCCCGTCGCTTCAATCCCACCACGTCCGACATCCAGAACATCGTCAAGCGGTACAAGCGCGCCTACCAAAAGCAGAGAGACGACGTTAGCGGCACGAAGGCCATTCTTCGAAAGGCCTACAAGATGCGGCTTATCAACTTCACCGTCGAGGACGAGGTCGTCAACCGAGGCGCAGAGGCAACGGCACCAGTGGGCACAGCGACGGCGACAGTGGCAGCACCGGGGGGAGTGACAGTAGAGGCGACAGTGGCAGCAGCGGCGGCAGTAGCAGCAGCACCGGCCGCGCTGGCAGCAGCGGCCGTTGCACCGGCAGGAGCAACGACAGCTGCAGCAGCGACAGTGGCAGGAGTCGCTAGCATGTTGCAACTCTTCGGTGCTTACGGCACAGCACCACCTGTTGGTATAGGCACGGCGGCGGCAATGCCGACAACGGCGACAGTCGCGACAGCTGCTGGACCTGTCAGGATTGGCTCCTTGCTCGGGCGAACAGGTCCCGTGTCGGCAGTACCGGCACTTGGAGCACCGTTAAGCCCGAGAAGGACGTTGCTTGCGTCGGCTTCCCAGCAGCAGCAACAGCCGACCACCGCGGGTGTCTCATTCTACGAGGTGCTAAAGTTTCTCGCAAGGTCCGGGGCTGGAGTTCGCGCCGGCGGCGGCGGCGGTGGCCTAGCCGGCGGCGGTGGCCTAGCGGGGCTGCCCCTCCCAGCCGCCCGAGCAGCCGCGGTCGCTCAGCCAGTAGGGACCGCTCAACCAGCCGCGGCCGTGCGACCAGTCGTGCACGGGGCACCAGCGCCGGTGGCTCATCGCGCTCTGGAAGCGCCAAGCGCCAGCGGGAGGGGGAGCCGTCCGAGGAGGAGTCGCTGATTCGCCTCCAGGAGGCACAGCAGAAGTTCCACGACATGGAGCTACAGGTCAAGACGGCGTCAGAGGAGGAGGCTACCAAGCGCGTGGCGAAGACCAAGGCCACCCTGGACCTCAAGGCGGCCACTCAGAAGACGGCCGCCCTCACGCGACAGGCGAGCAAGGCGGAGAAGGAGCTGGAGGCGGCCAAGAAGGCGCGTGAGAAGTACGACAAGATTGAGAGCATCGACATGACTGCAGCGAGTGAGGGGGAGGGCGAGGGAGAGGACGAGGGCGAGGGTGTGGGCGAGGGGGAGTGCGAGGAGGGAGAGGGACGCTTGGAGCTGTGAGCGAATATTCGGGGGTGTGGGAGATGCGTGGATATGCAATGTGTGGTTAAATGTGTGGATACGCAATCGTGGTGTGTCAATGTCGTATAGTGGACCAGTTCAACAGTTCAAGGTGTTTGTTTCGTCTTCGTCTTGTTGTGTTGTGCTATGGTTGAAACCTGTGGCATGTGAAGCGAGCGCGCGCTTGGATGGACAAGACAACGGTGACAGGATGTAAGGTTCATGGGTTTGCTGTGTCGGCTGGCTCCGGCATTTGCTGTTGCTATTCCGTGTGCTCGCATATGCCGAACGCAGCTCGTTCGCTCCTACGATACTCGGTATGGCATGCAAGCATCGCGACGAGTGTAACGATTTCGACGTTTGAGGAAGACAATGGCTTGGTTTCAAACTACATACAGGACGCATAAGGATTGTACCTATGAGTTTGGTAAGTAAGCAGGTTTCAGCGAGTCATGCATAAAGGCTCTAACGGTCGGCCTTAATGTGTTGGACGTAATGGCAAAAACGGATTCCTATTAGGTTTCTTAAAGGTAATATCATTTTACAAGTCTAGGAGCGGTGCTGGTTGGCAGGGCAGGTTGGAAGACTCCAGGGTGGGAAGTGAAGCGGAGCCTGGCCCCGCCATTTGTCTTGCGGTTTGTCCAGGTGATTCGTAATCTCCATAGCAATGTCATTGTAGCGTTGTAAAGCTGCAACCAACGTGTAGCCCATAAGCCAAGGTTAAGTTGCCTCTTGATGTGCCTCCCTCAAGGCTGACTTGCCTCTTGCAAAAAACAAAACTGTTAAAGCGAATATGTTGGTTAGAATATAGAAAGGTTAGTTGTAGTTCAATACAAGCAGCTTAGCAAAGACTGCCGCTGCCGCGATGGCCGCAGAGACACAAAGTGGGCATCGTCCCTCTACGTTACATTCGTTCGTTCATTTCGTTCGTTCAACGCGCACCGCTGAAAAGTGGATCGAAATACGTGCTTGTTTCACGTTTTCGAGGCCTCCCTCGCCCGACATGGCCTTCGTCGCAATCCTGTTGGCTATCCTGTTGGCTATCGCTCTGGCGATTGCTTTTTTGATGCCTTTCGTTGGCTATTGTTTCAGCAACGCGGCGTCAATGTGGGTGTATCAGCAGTGCGTCAAGCGGGAATTGGTGAATTCCGCCGGTGTTATGGCGTATTTGGGAAGCCTGCGAACGAGCGCGCATGTTGGACCCAGGCACGCCGCATGAAGAGCTTAGGCATGGTGTTCGCGCGCAGTTCCAAATCGACAATCCACACGTCTCGCTGGCTGCAAATACAGCCACGGCCATTGCTAACGAGGAAAGATATGCACGCACCGCATCTTCAGAAGGCGCCGCTGTGGCTGCTTACTGCACAGACGTGCTGTCACAGGGGGAAGGACCTGTTCTCAGAGCGGCTTGGGCAGATGAAAACATCGTACACTGGGTAGCGGTTGCCTTTCAATGCAACCTGACCGTTTGGCATGCCGACGGCACCGGGTGTCGGGCCCTTTCCTACGCATATGGCGACAACAGCGAAGAAATGCACTTAGCCTTTTATGCGGGTCATTACGAACCAGTTGTACGAAGCACCACAGCACATCCACTGCCTGACCCCACCCCAAACATCCGCCAACATGCAAGCGTCCAACGCACCAAAACAACTCCTCAATTGCCAATCCAACCCAAGTCTAGCCCAACAGCATCGCTGAAGTTGTGCGACCAGGTGCTCTTAGCTGCAGAGAGGCTGTGCATGCCAGAGCACTCACACACGCGCATTAAAACCCATAAGTGTCAGGTCTGGATGCCGTCAAGGGTGGATTTGCCGTCGGTTCGGTAACGGTTGGGATTCGTTAGGGCTTCGTCAGATCTCTAACTATCGTTATGGCTTGGTTATGTTGCGGTTAGCTGCTATAATATTGGTTATCTGGTTGGATGTACCTGAGTGAACGCAGTCAGTTGGTATCTTGGCGCGTATCTGGTGTCATCAGGGTGTCATGTGGGCCTGTGCTTACGGTTCCCGCCTTGCTCTTAGGCTGAGGAGGTGCGGCGGAGCGCACCTTTTGGCACTACCGTGCGGTTGCGGTTGTGTAGAGGCTCATGATAGATTATCAACAATACTAACAGGATTCCAATATCAGGTATTGCGTGAAGGCGCCCAGAAGTGGCCCGCGCATCCATCGAGTATACTTGCGTCCAGCTGCCCCTAACGTGGCCTGCGCAGTCTAACAGTTTCGTGAACAGGTTGATATCTTTATTGAGTATCTGCATCCCTATTCTGCTGGGAGTGACTTCGTGGCAATCTGTGCCCGACCCAAGAGATGACATGCCCGCGCTTTGAGGTATGATCCGAGTTGTAACACATATGGCTATCTGATCTGATACAGTTGCGCTACAACACTGTGTGGTCTGGGCCACACTAGGGCAATTGCCTTTGCTTTGCCTGATCATTAGGGATAGTGACCGTAAATCCCCCCGTAACGAAGTGGAGGGGAGGATTGGAGGACAGATCACCGCTAAAGTTTGTCCGTCTGTCTGTCCGTGACCGTAAATCCCCCCGTAACGAAGTGAAGGGGAGGATTGGAGGACAGATCACAATTAAATCATCTCCGTCTGTCTGTCTGTCTGTCTGTCTGTCTGTCTGTCTGTTAACAAAAGTGGTGGCAACGACCTTCAGGCGCTAAGCGTTCAGTCCTGTCCTCAGCCAGCCAGAGGTCTCCAGTTCGAGCCTGGTAGCGACCTCTTGGCGACTTCCTCGGCACCCTTGGAGATGATGCCTGGCCCTATGGGGATGGTGTTCTGGGAGATCTCGAGTACGACAACACACTGTACGGCAGCAAACTGTACGGCACGGTTGCCATGCTGTGTGGTGACACATCATGTGGTGTACGACATGTACGCCAATGTACGACAGCTGTACGGCAGTGTACGACAGCGTACGACAACTGTCGTACGCTTGTACGGCATCTGTACGGCATGGGTTTTGACACACCCTCCCACCCCCCTCCGTGCTCCCCACTCCCCTCATCGCCCCCTCTTCACTCATCATGCCTGGCATCATCAGGATGGTGTCCTGAGATGTGGTGTCGTACGGCAACACAGTACGGCATGGGTTTTGACACGCTCTCCCACCCCCCTTCATGCTCCCCACTCCCCTCACCACCCCCTCATCACTCATCATGCCTGGCATCATCAGGATGGTGTCCTGAGGTGTGGTGCCGTACAGCAACGCAGTACGGCATGGGTTTCAACACGCCCTCCCACCCCCCTCCATGCTCCCCGCCCTCCTCACCACCCCCTCGTCCCTCCAGCACCTCTGAACGCCCCTGCATCACCATGAAGTGTACGGCAACGCAGTACGGCATGGGTTTCGACACGCCCTCCCACCCCCCTCCATGCTCCCCGCCCCCCTCACCACCCCCTCGTCCCTCCAGCACCTCTGAACGCCCCTGCATCACCATGAGGTGTACGGCAATGCAGTACGGCATGGGTTTCGACACGCCCTCCCACCCCCCTCCATGCTCCCCACTCCCCTCACCACCCCCTCGCCGCTCTGGCTCCTCTGACCACCCCTGTCGTACAGCGACACGGTATGGCATGGCTTCGGGCACCGCATATCACCAATCTTCTTGTTGCAATATCTTGCATTGTGATCTCGACTAAGCTGTAACTGAATTAATGAGCCATTCGCAGTTTCTTGGTTACTTTCCAAAATCAGTGTCAAAACGTTTGGTGACTGTGACCACCCCCCTCCATGCTCCCCACTCCCCTCACCACCCCCTCGTTGCTCCAGCTCCTCTGACCACCCCTGTCGTACAGCGACACGGTACGGCATGGCTTCGGGCACCGTGTATCACCAATCTTCTTGTTGCAATATCTTGCATTGTGATGTCGATTAAGCTATAACTGAGTTAATGAGCCATTTGCAGTTTCTTGGTTACTTTCCAAAATCAGCGTCAAACTGTTTGGTGACTGTGACCACCCCCCTCCATGCTCCCCACTCCCCTCACCACCCCCTCCTCGCTCCAGCTCCTCTGACCACCCCTGTCGTACAGCGACACTGTACGGCATGGCTTCGGGCACCACGTATCACCAATCTTCTTGTTGTGATGTCTTGCATTGTGATGTCGATTAAGCTATAACTAATTTAATGAGCCATTCGCAGTTTCTTGGTTACTTTCAGAAATCGGCGCAAAACTGTTTGGTGACCGTTACCACCCCTCTCCAAACTCCCTACTCCCCTCACCACCTCTTCATCGCTCTAGCTCCCCTGAACACCCCTGTCGTACAGCGGTACGGCATGGGTTGGGGCACCGTGTGCCGCCCGTCTCCTTGTTGCGATGTCTTGCATTGTGATATCGACTAAGCTATATCTGATTTAATGAGCCATTCGCAGTTTCTTGGTTACTTTTCCGAAATCAGTGTAAAACTGTTTCGGCGACTGGTATGGTTTCGGCAAAACAAAATCGGCGCAAAATGTAAGCTGGTTTCGGCGAGAAGCGTGGTCGTGAAGTCGGCGCGTCTGATGAAAAGCGCCGATTACTGGTCGCCGAAGACGAGGGTTTATCGGCGATTACTGATCGGTGAATGCTGTCAGGGGTGGTCACCGTGAAAGCTTCTTAGATTTCGGCGCAATTTGCCTGGCATCGGCGAGAGTCTTTCGGCGCAATTTGCAAGCTGGTTTCGGCGAGAAGCATGGTCGTGAAGTCGCCGCATCTCCTGAAAAGCGCCGATTACTGATCGCCAAAAACTATGGTTGATCGGCGATTGCTGATCGGCAAATGCTGTCAGGGGAGATCGCCGTGGAAGCTCTTTAGATTTCGGCACAATTTGCCTGGCATCGGCAAAGGTCTTTCGGCGCAATTAGCAGGCTGGTTTCGACGAGAAGCACGATCGTGAAGTCGGCGCATCTCCTGAAAAGCGCCGATTGCTGATCGCCGAAAATGATAGCTTTTTTGGTGATCACCGACCCACGGGTCATGAGACGTCGCCCTCATGCGCAGATGTGTTTGTGTGTGTGTGTGTGTGTGTGCATGTAGTGCGCAGGTAGCGTGGCTCTACCTGTATATGTTGGCACAGAACAAGGGCTTTTCATGCCTTGGACACGCCAACATGCCGTAGGGCAGCCCCAAGAGGTCACCGATAGCGGAAAACGTCCGGAGGCGCCCCAAAATTTGAATTTGAAGCAGTTCGACGCCATGCCGTACATGTACGCCATGCCGACTATTGCTTTCGAACATGAGCCGCACGCTGACATCAGGTCCGCCGACCATGCTTGTCTGCAACACATGAGCAACCTCACAACACTGGTCGGCGCGTCAACGTTAGGTCCGCAATGCTGAAGTCATGCCGGCACGCAAAGCTTGTTCGTTCGCGAATTCATCACCAATCAGGATTTACGGTACCCCCGGCCGCGGCGACCACGACGCGGCGCTATCTGTCTGTCCGTCTGTTCACAAAAGGGGTGGCAACGACCTTCCGGCGCTAAGCGTTCAGTCCTATCCTCAGCCAGCCAGAGGTCTCCAGTTCGAGCCGGGTAGCGACCTCTTTGCGACTTCCTCGGCACCCTTGGAGATGATGCCTGGGCCTATGGGGATGGTGTTTTGGGAGATCTCGAGTACAACAACACACTGTAGTACGGCAACGCAGTACGGCATGGGTTTCGACACGCCCTCCCACCCCCCTCCATGCTCCCCACTTCCCTCACCTCCCCCTCGCCCCTCCAGCACCCCTGAACGCCCCTGCATCACCGTGAGGTGTACGGCGACGCAGTACGGCATGGGTTTCGACACGCCCTCCCACCCCCCTCCATGCTCCCCACTCCCCTCACCTCCCCCTCGCCCCTCCAGCACCCCTGAACGCCCCTGCATCACCGTGAGGTGTACGGCGACGCAGTACGGCACGGGTTTCGACACGCCCTCCCACCCCCCTCCATGCTCCCCACTCCCCTCACCTCCCCCTCGCCCCTCCAGCACCCCTGAACGCCCCTGCATCACCGTGAGGTGTACGGCGACGCAGTACGGCACGGGTTTCGACACGCCCTCCCACCCCCCTCCATGCTCCCCACTCCCCTCACCTCCCCCTCGCCCCTCCAGCACCCCTGAACGCCCCTGCATCACCGTGAGGTGTACGGCGACGCAGTACGGCACGGGTTTCGACACGCCCTCCCACCCCCCTCCATGCTCCCCACTCCCCTCACCTCCCCCTCGCCCCTCTAGCACCCCTGAACGCCCCTGCATCACCGTGAGGTGTACGGCGACGCAGTACGGCATGGGTTTCGACACGCCCTCCCACCCCCCTCCATGCTCCCCACTCCCCTCACCTCCCCCTCGCCCCTCCAGCACCTCTGAACGCCCCTGCATCACCGTGAGGTGTACGGCAACGCAGTACGGCACGGGTTTCGACACGCCCTCCCACCCCCCTCCATGCTCCCCACTCCCCTCACCACCCCCTCGCCCCTCTAGCACCCCTGAACGCCCCTGCATCGCCGTGAGGTGTACGGCAACGCAGTACGGCACGGGTTTCGACACGCCCTCCCACCCCCCTCCATGCTCCCCACTCCCCTCACCTCCCCCTCGCCCCTCCAGCACCCCTGAACGCCCCTGCATCGCCGTGAGGTGTACGGCAACGCAGTACGGCATGGGTTTCGACACGCCCTCCCACCCCCCTCCATGCTCCCCACTCCCCTCACCTCCCCCTCGCCCCTCCAGCACCTCTGAACGCCCCTGCATCACCGTGAGGTGTACGGCAACGCAGTACGGCACGGGTTTCGACACGCCCTCCCACCCCCCTCCATGCTCCCCACTCCCCTCACCTCCCCCTCGCCCCTCCAGCACCCCTGAACGCCCCTGCATCACCGTGAGGTGTACGGCAACGTAGTACGGCATGGGTTTCGACACGCCCTCCCACCCCCCTCCATGCTCCCCACTCCCCTCACCACCCCCTCGCCCCTCTAGCACCCCTGAACGCCCCTGCATCACCGTGAGGTGTACGGCAACGCAGTACGGCACGGGTTTCGACACGCCCTCCCACCCCCCTCCGTGCTCCCCACTCCCCTCACCTCCCCCTCGCCCCTCTAGCACCCCTGAACGCCCCTGCATCACCGTGAGGTGTACGGCAACGCAGTACGGCATGGGTTTCGACACGCCCTCCCACCCCCTCCATGCTCCCCACTCCCCTCACCACCCCCTCGCCCCTCCAGCACCTCTGAACGCCCCTGCATCACCGTGAGGTGTACGACAACGCAGTACGGCAGGGGTTTCGACACGCCCTCCCACCCCCCTCCATGCTCCCCACTCCCCTCAACACCCCCTCGCCCCTCCAGCACCCCTGAACGCCCCTGCATCACCGTGAGGTGTACGGCAACGCAGTACGGCAGATCGTCGCACTGGCTCCTTTGAACACCGTCGTGAAGTCGGCGCATCTCCTGAAAAGCGTCGATTACTGATCGCCGAAAAAATGTAGTTGATCGGCGATTGCTCCTCTGCACCTCTGACCGCCCCTGCATCACCGTGAGGTGTACGGCAACGCAGTACGGTATGGGTTTCGAGACGCCCTCCCATCCCCCTCCGTGCTCCTTGTTGCGATGTCTTGCATTGTGATCTCGACTAAGCTATAACTGAGTTAATGAGCCATTCGCAGTTTATTGGTTACTTTCCAAAATCAGCGCAGAACTGTTTGGTGACCGTGACCATCCCCCTCCATACTCCCCACTCCCCTCACCACCCCTTCATCACTCCAGCTCCTCTGAACACCCCTGTTGTACAGCGACACTGTACGGCATGGGTTCAGGCACCACGTATCACCCGTCTTCTTGTTGCAATATCTTGCATTGTGATGTCGACTAAGCTATAACTAAGCTATACTCCAATAGGCGGTAGTTGGCCAGCCGGTTGAGCTGCCTCGGGCGACGTAAATGGCGAGGTCTTGGAGAAGGGCGTGTTGCGCGACGGCGCTGGATAGAAGGAGTCTGTACAACGGGTGGCTTGAAGGTGGCGGGTCAAATCGGAAAGGTCTGTTTGTTGGTCCTGCCAATGTCCATTGAAATGCGAAATTTGCGCGGACCACGAATGTGAGCGCTTTGCACTTTGAACAGCACGGCTGAATAGTAGTATGTATTGTGGGCATGGAGGAAGTGTCGGCATGTAAAATGGATCGGTGTAGGAGGAGATATTGAGAGTTGTACTGCACCGCGGCCGTGGGTGTGAACATGGCGGCCTCACGCGGCGGTCGCAATACTTTCCATAGTTATACTTTAAAAAGTCGGCTTTATGTAAATCGCCAAATATTAGGCGCGTTTGAGAGCAGGCGAGAAAGTTCACAGTCAGTCAAGTTATCGCACTCCTTCTGTTGGCCTTGTTGGCAGCGCAAGTTTACAGATATCGATATATATAGTTACAAGCGAGTTTTAGGCGGTAGTTGGCCAGCCGGTTGAGCCGCCTCGGGCGACCTAAATGGCGAGGTCTTGGAAGGGCCGGCCCGACGTTTCAGCAGCCTAAGTTGCCAACCGGACATAGCTTAGCAAGGAATGGCTATACCTAGCGGCGCAAGCGTGCCGGTGACGGAAGAAGAGGTGGACATCGGCAGGTTGAATGGCGAGGACGTTATTAGCTTAGCCATCAACTTGGCGAGGGAGAGCGCAGCAGTAAAAGCGGTTGCGAGTCATCTGGGTAGAGAAGCGAATAAGGCCTGCTACATGTTGGTGACTTGGATGTCACTCAAGGAAGCAGGCGAAGAAGTGAAGTATAAAGGCTACAAGGCAGTCATTCCTGCGCAAATGGCGCCCTCGGACGTCATGCGGATGGAGTTTCGGCCGGTTGCGGTGCATCAGGTGAAGTCCGGGCAGTGTGGGTGGGGCAAGGTGGGGCGCAAGGCCGGTAGGTGCCTGCCTTGCGCGCTGCGGATGTTTATAGAGGAGAGGGGAGGTGCGAGCTGTTCTGAGGATGCCCCTTTTGTTTGCAGGCACCAGAGAGTGCGGGAGACTGCTTGGCGCTGCAGCATTGGCAAGCGGCGTGCAGCAGCGGAACGGAGGTGAGTGGAGTGGAAGGAGGTGGTGCATATTGTGCAGGATAGGGGGGGGGGCATGATACGACATGTACGACTATGTACGACAGTTGTATGACAGTGTACGACAACTGTCGTACGGTTGTACGGCATCTGTACGGCACGGGTTTCAACACGCCCTCCCACCCCCCTCCATGCTCCCCACTCCCCTCACCTCCCCCTCGTCCCTCCAGCACCTCTGAACGCCTCTGCATCACCGTGAGGTGCTGACCCACGGGTCATGAGACGTCGCCCTCATGCGCAGATGTGTGTGTGTGTGTGTGTGTGTGTGTGTGTGTGTGTGTGTGTGTGTGTGTGTGTGTGTGTGTGTGTGTGTGTGTGTGTGTGCATGTAGTGCGCAGGTAGCGAGGCTCTACCTGTATATGTTGGTACAGAACAAGGGCTTTTCGTGCCTTGGACACGCCAACATGCCATAGGGCAGCCCCAAGAGGTCACCGATAGCGGAAAACGTCCGGAGGCGCCCCAAAATTTGAATTTGAAGCACTTCGACGCCATGCCGTACATGTACGCCATGCCGACTATTGCTTTCGAACATGAGCCGCACGCTGACATCAGGTCCGCCGACCATGCTTGTCTGCAACACATGAGCAACCTCACAACACTGGTCGGCGCGCCAATGTTAGGTCCAAGCTTGTTCGTTCGTTCGTTCGCGGATTCATCACCAATCAGGATTTACGGTACCCCCGGCCGCGGCGACCACGACGCGGCGCTATCTGTCTGTCCGTCCGTCTGTCTGTTCACAAAAGGGGTGGCAACGACCTTCCGGCGCTAAGCGTTCAGTCCTATCCTCAGCCAGGCAGAGGTCTCCAGTTCGAGCCGAGTAGCGACCTCTTGGCGACTTCCTTGGTACCCTTGGAGATGATGCCTGGGCCTATGGGGATGGTGTTCTGGGAGATCTCGAGTACGACAACACACTGTAGTACGGCAACGCAGTACGGCACGGGTTTCGACACGCCCTCCCACCCCCCTCCATGCTCCCCACTCCCCTCACCACCCCCTCGCCCCTCTAGCACCCCTGAACGCCCCTGCATCACCGTGAGGTGTTCGGCAACGCAGTACGGCATGGGTTTCGACACGCCCTCACACCCCCCTCCATGCTCCCCACTTCCCTCACCTCCCCCTCGCCCCTCTAGCACCCCTGAACGCCCCTGCATCACCGTGAGGTGTACGACAACGCAGTACGGCATGGGTTTCGACACGCCCTCCCACCCCCCTCCATGCTCCCCACTCCCCTCACCTCCCCCTCGCCCCTCCAGCACCCCTGAACGCCCCTGCATCACCGTGAGGTGTACGGCAACGCAGTACGGCATGGGTTTCGACACGCCCTCCCACCCCCCTCCATGCTCCCCACTCCCCTCACCACCCCCTCGCCCCTCCAGCACCCCTGAACGCCCCTGCATCACCGTGAGGTGTACGGCAACGCAGTACGGCACGGGTTTCGACACGCTCTCCCACCCCCCTCCATGCTCACCACTCCCCTCACCACCCCCTCGCCCCTCTAGCACCCCTGAACGCCCCTGCATCACCGTGAGGTGTACGGCAACGCAGTACGGCATGGGTTTCGACACGCCCTCCCATCCCCCTCCATGCTCCCCACTCCCCTCACCACCCCCTCGCCCCTCCAGCACCCCTGAACGCCCCTGCATCACCGTGAGGTGTACGGCAACGCAGTACGGCATGGGTTTCGACACGCCCTCCCACCCCCCTCCATGCTCCCCACTCCCCTCACCACCCCCTCGCCCCTCCAGCACCCCTGAACGCCCCTGCATCACCGTGAGGTGTACGGCAACGCAGTACGGCATGGGTTTCGACACGCCCTCCCACCCCCCTCCATGCTCCCCACTCCCCTCACCACCCCCTCGCCCCTCCAGCACCTCTGAACGCCCCTGCATCACCGTGAGGTGTACGGCAACGCAGTACGGCATGGGTTTCGACACACCCTCCCACCCCCCTCCATGCTCCCCACTCCCCTCACCACTCCCTCGCCCCTCCAGCACCTCTGAACGCTCCTGCATCACCGTGAGGTGTACGGCAACGCAGTACGGCATGGGTTTCGACACGCTCTCCCACCCCCCTCCATGCTCCCCACTCCCCTCACCACCCCCTCGTCCCTCCAGCACCTCTGAACGCTCCTGCATCACCATGAGGTGTACGGCAACGCAGTATGGCATGGGTTTCGACACGCCCCCGCCCGCCCCCCTTCATGCTCCCCACTCCCCCCACCACCCCCTCGCCGCTCAAGCTCCTCTGACCACCCCTGTCGTACAGCGACTTTGTACGGCATGGCTTCAGGCACCGCGTATCACCAATCTTCTTGTTGCAATATCTTGCATTGTGATCTCGACTAAGCTATAACTGAATTAATGAGCCATTCGCAGTTTCTTGGTTACTTTCCTATATCAGCGTCAAACTGTTTGGTGACCGTGACCACCCCCCTCCATGCTCCCCACTCCCCTCACCACCCCCTCGTCGCTCTGGCTCCTCTGACCACCCCTGTCGGATAGCGACACGGTACGGCATGGGTTCGGGCACCACGTATCACCAGTCTTCTTGTTGCAATATCTTGCATTGTGATGTCGACTAAGCTATAACTGAGTTAATGAGCCATTCGCAGTTTCTTGGTTACTTTCCAAAATCAGCGTAAAACGGTTCGGTGACTGTGACCACCCCTCTCCAAACTCCCTATTCCCCCCACCACCCCCTCGCCGCTCTAGCTCCTCTGACCACCCCTGTCGTACAGCGACTTTGTACGGCATGGCTTCGGGCACCGCGTATCACCAATCTTCTTGTTGCAATATCTTGCATTGTGATCTCGACTAAGCTATAACTGAATTAATGAGCCATTCGCAGTTTCTTGGTTACTTTCCAAAATCAGCGTCAAACTGTTTGGTGACCGTGGCCACCCCCCTCCATGCTCCCCACTCCCCTCACCACCCCCTCGTCGCTCTGGCTCCTTTGATCACCCCTGTCGTACAGCGACACGGTACGGCATGGCTTCGGGCACCGCGTACCACCAATCTTCTTGTTGCAATATCCTGCATTGTGATGTCGACTAAGCTATAACTGAATTAATGAGCCATTCGCAGTTTCTTGGTTACTTTCCAAAATCAGCGTAAAACTGTTTGGTGACCGTGACCACCCCCCTCCATGCTCCCCACCCCCCTCACCACCCCCTCGTCGCACTGGCTCCTTTGAACACCGTCGTGAAGTCGGCGCATCTCCTGAAAAGCGTCGATTACTGATCGCCGAAAACTGTAGTTGATCGGCGATTGCTGATCGGCGAATGCTGTCAGGGGAGATCGCCGTGAAAGCTCTTTAGATTTCGGCACAATTGGCCTGGCATCGGCAAAAATCTTTCGGCGCGATTTGCAAGCTGGTCTCGGCGAGAAGCACGGTCGTGAAGTCGGCGCATCTCCTGAAAAGCGCTGATTGCTGATCGCCGAAAATGATCGCTTTTTTGGTGATCACTGACCCACGGGTCATGAGACGTCGCCCTCATGCGCACATGTGTGTGTGTGTGTGTGTGTGTGTGTGTGTGTGTGTGTGTGCATGTAGTGCGCAGGTAGCGAGGCTCTACCTGTATATGTTGGTACAGAACAAGGGCTTTTCGTGCCTTGGACACGCCACCATGCCGTAGGGCAGCCCCAAGAGGTCACCGATAGCGGAAAACGTCCGGAGGCGCCCCAAAATTTGAGTTTGAAGCAGTTCGACGCCATGCCGTACATGTACGCCATGCCGACTATTGCTTTCGAACATGAGCCGCACGCTGACATCAGGTCCGCCGACCATGCTTGTCTGCAACACATGAGCAACCTCACAACACTGGTCGGCGCGCCAATGTTAGGTCCGCAATGCTGAAGTCATGCCGGCACGCAAAGCTTGTTCGTTCGCGGATTCATCACCAATCAGGATTTACGGTACCCCCGGCCGCGGCGACCACGACGCGGCGCTATATACATTCCTTCAGCCTTCCCCCAGACGTTTGCCAGGCCGCACTATTAGGACAGCGACAGCCATTGGCCCTGACATAAGCAGCTTGCAGATGCCCTTGTGACAGAGCTTGCACGTCATGGCCAAAGTGCTTTAAACAGCCAGGTATACAATATCATCACGAGGCCGTGCCCAGAACTAAAGCTTCGCGTCCTGCAGCTTTTGGGAAAGCTTGACGGCAACGCCTCACACACACACAACGAAACCAAAGCATCAAAGACTGGCAAACCAGCAACAGAATCATCCCCTGTGACCAAAACGGAACAGCCCCTGCCAACACCAAAACCCACAGCCACGCAGAATGTTGCGGCAGAAGCGGTGTTGTCACCTATGGCAACGGAGGACAAGGCAGCCCCCATGTCAATCTCTGACGCTGTACTTACAGCTGCCAAGGAAGTAGCAGCGCTGGCCACTCGCCCCGCCATCACAACAAAAGCTGCTCTTGTTGACATGCTGTTGGCACACCTTGCCTCTAACGACATCCGCCTGAAAAAGGCGCAAGTCAGGCGCGTGCTGTACTATCCGAAAGGAGAACTGAAGCAATATGTGACGACCTTGTTGGAATGGAAGCATGCTCCTGCAGCTACTACAAGCACTCAAAAGGTGACGTGGTCCGACCGGCACGCCTCCTTGTTCAAGAGTGCGCTTGACAACGCAGCAGCAGCAGCTGGATGCCGGACATGGGCTGTGATGAACAGGGAAGCACGTTCGCACGCCATTGCAAGCAAGTATCCTGCACCATGCACCGCTGCCATCATTCTCGACCGCGGACTGTTTTAGCAAATGCTCTGTGTGACGTACGCATCTGGGTTACACATTTCGCATCATCTTGAGATGACGCAAAAGGTGGGACAACCGGCAGTTTGCAGGCTGTTTGTTTGCATGGCGGACTGTTTTAGCACAAAATGTCCTATGAGGCGCCTGCATGCATACGTTGGGATAGAGGAGGCTGGCGGTGCAGCTAGGGTTTTGCTCTTGACGACCCTTGTTCCAGTTTCCACTAGCTCTACGCACCGCCAGACCTCGCGTCGAATCACGGGGAAGCAGGGTCACACAGGCACGCCCAAGGACCGCACTGCCGCATCTACGCATACCACTGACATGTAATACGCATCCCAACTGTACAACCTCCCTCCACTCCTCTCACCTCCAACAAAGCCAGCACTGAAACAGCCTGGGCACTACTTGACAGCGAGTTCGCTTTTTAAAATGGGGGCGAGCCCCGGTGTCTGCGAAGCTGACGGGTTTCCAAGGCGTTTAACTTTTTGGGCGGAGCCCCCGCCGCGAAGCGGCTTCGGGGGGGCTTCGCCCCCCAGGATTGCCCCTGTCGCCGGAGCAATGTAGCGACGTCGGAGGCCGACGTCGTAGACGGAGTCCGGAGCTAGCGAAGCAGCGAAGGAAAGGCATCATCAATAGGGAGGGGGGGTTTCGTGCTCACATTTTTTTGGCAAGCGCCTTAACAGGGACGCGGCGTTTTGAGCGCTAAAATTCGCGGCCCGGGT